TGCGGGTGCGTGGGTGTGTGTGTGGGTGTGTGTGTGTGTGTGTGTGTGTGTGTGTGTGTGTGTGTGTGTGTGTGCGCGCGCGCAGAGGAGAGACTGTCTGAAGTGGTGAAACAGGCAAGGTGGTTCTCCAGATGCTGTCTTGAAAGCATCCTGCTTTAGCCAGAGTTTGGCTGTGGAATTCTTGGAGTTGAAGTCCGACGTCTGATCCACACCATCTCGGCTCTGGATTGTCTATCCTAACTGACAGCAGATTTCAAAGAGGAGTCTCCCCCAACCCTGTCTGGGCATACTAAGGATCCTCTGCTGGGCTGCTGCTTCTGCCTTGCCAATGATTTAAAGGACACGCGTGGGGCACTTTTTGGATAGATTATCCAGATAAGTAGCTGGCATCCCTTTTGTGCCACCCATGTCCTCCACTCTATGGCCTTTGGCATCAAGAGCCAAAGGCAGAACTTCAGGTGATGATGTTACTGATGTCACCAGTACTTTTTGGCTAACTTTTTTTTGGGGGGGGAAATGAGGCACAAGAAGGTGCTGGAGACTTCAGCTGGCACTGCCATGTGTGAGTCCTTTAGGTTAGAAAGAAGGAAATCACACCTGTGATTGGTATGTGATTTTAAAAAAAGCATTGTGGTATTTTGCAGACCAAAAGATGTATTTCACAAAGTACCGGAACGGTTTTCAGAAAAAGCAAGAAACACGAGAGAGAGAAACGGGGAAGGTGTTAGGTGAATGATCTGAATCTAATCTTCCCCTCCTTCTTATCAGTTCTCTTTGCAGTGAGTGAATTACCATATCACTCGTGTTCACTAAAACTGAAGACCCTGCCAGTGTGGCATCCTGCTTAGAGTGCAATTGTCTGCATGTTTACTCCCAAATCATCCCTGTTGAAATTGGGGAAAAGGTTTTTTTTTTTTTTGAATAAGGCTCAAGCTGCATGGGCATCAAAAATTGAGTTTTGTTTTATGGAGACATGCAATGTGGAATATAATCCAAGGGATTAGATGGTGAGCACAAGAGATTTTTTTTCTTTAAGACTACTTCTTCATATGTGGCTTTCTCTGTAGAAAGCATGGTGTCAGTGCTTGTTCCATAGAGAGGGCTGCCACCCATTTTACCAATTGATCAGTTAGTTGGTTGGTTGACTTTGGAGACCATTCCCCAAGTTTCCTCCTTAAAGACTCAAACTGCACTTAAGGCCAGTACAGAAAGCAGCTGGGTGTGCTTGTATGTTCCTGTTTAGGAGGGTGGTGGTGGGGACATTGGTTAAAAGACGTGGCTGCCATTTCTGAAGGCTGAACCCCCCCTGGGATCCCAGCAGGGAGTCGGAGTTTGTGCCAAGCGGGGAGGGCACGGCCTCCAAAACGCTTGGCCAGAGGGCACTTTAGCAAATTCCTTTTTGGAATTCTTCTCTGCTCTCAGGAACATCCCCCATCCACCGCCTGCCCCCAGAAGGAAATTCTTCTTCGTCCTCTCCCTTCAGGAACTGGCTCTTGTGCTGGCCGGGGTCTGTGTTCTCCCTGCACCACCCCTGAATCCCTACATCGTGTTCTCCTGCTGCTTGGTCGGGGCCTTGTTCTCTCCCTGTTCTTGTCCCTCTTCCTTGGGAATGCCTTTGTCTGGCTGACTTCCCACATCCTCCCTGGGAGGAAGGGGGAAAAAACAAGAATGAGTTCAGCAATGTCCGTTCCTCTTGCTGCATCCTTCGAGAGGCCTTCCCTCGGCCTTTGCTGCTGATCCCTGTCTTTGCTTGCGCATTTGGCAGAGTGCGTGTCTGCTTGCGCACTTGCCTGACCTCTGCTCTCGGCATCTCCCCTTTCAATCCGAGGGGATCCTGCCCTCCTCCGTTACTCTCCTGCTCCTCCTCCAGCAGCCCCTCCCATTTTGCATGTGGTTCCCTTGAGCTCTGTGTGCCTTCCTCCCCTTTCTGTAAGGCCCCTCTGACACCGAATGTCTTGCATGAGAGAGAGAGAGAGAGAGAGCGTGCTCAGCAGTTGGAGGATCTGCATGCTTGGGTTACCTGACCCATGACTCCTTTATTGGGCTTTATTTCAATTATCGCCGTCTTTCTTCCTCCTTGGTTTACACTCCTCCTTTCATCCAGTGATTTCTAGGCAATGTACCTGCTTCCCCCCCTCCCCCTCCTTGATCCCCACAACAGTCCAGCAAGGTCGGTCAGGCCGAGGGAACAACTGACCAAGGTTTATTTATTTTATTTTATTTATTTATTACATTTCTGTCCCGCCCATCTAGTCGTTTGGACTACTCTGGGCGGCATACATCAAAGACAAGGTTGTGCAGTGTTGTTTCATGGCCAGATAGGATTAGATCCCACATGTCACAGATGTTAAGCCCGTGTTTGTCTGCTGCATCACATTGCCCTCCAGTACTGTTGGGCGACAACTCCCATCACGGGTCACCATTGGCTGTGTTGGCTGGGGCTGATGGCTGTCGCAGTCCAGCACCATTGCACCCATTCTTCTTTGTTTATCTTTGTGACAGGATTGCTAGGTGGGCTGGGTGATACAGCTGGCTCAAGGTCACCTGGTGAACGTTGTGGTGGTTGAAGAGGGGATTTGAGACACTCTGCTTTGGTAGAGCTAATCTGATGTTCTGATCTAACCACTTGACCACACCGACAATGAATTGCTTCCCAGACCAGTGCTTATGATTCCTCACGAGAAATCATACTGCCCTTCTGCTCTTCCCAAAGAAGCCCCAGACTGGAAATTTGACAGCTGATGTCGTACATAGCTATCCTAGGAGCCACTTAGCATTTTAGCTGCCTGGCAAATGCTTTAGTGAATAGAGAAAAAAAACCACAACTTTTTACTTGGAAAACATTTGGTGCAATGATTTTCACATCCAAAATCTGGGGATAGATTTCTCTGAACGTGTTCAGATTTCTTAGGTGTCCAGGAGCCCTCGTTCAAACTATTTGGCCGTACCCTCTGTGTCAGTCCTTGTGTGATGCAGTCAGAGCTAGGAGAAGTTACATTTTGGGACTACAACTGCCAGAATCCCCCCTCCAACGTGGCCAGGGAGGTACAACATTTCCAGGCTCATCCAGCCTCCTGACGGTTCTTTGGGTGTAGCCTCATTTCGACTTAGGCTAAGTGACTGTGGTTGCTTCCCTGCTTTTGCCTTAGATCTTTCCGATTTGCCCCTTGAAAAAAGTCCTGTCAAAGGAAACATCAGTGGTGGAATCTGGTCCTAATGCCGTGTGATTTGGCTTTTTACAGGCGGAGCCCCTGACAGGACAGGGTCTGGTTGGCGCTGAGCGGCTGTCATGATCTCTGCAGCACCTCTCTACAGCGGGGTGCACAACTGGGCAGGCACTGAGCGGATTCGCATGTGCGGCCTCAACGAAGAGAGGTGAGGTGCGTGAATGGCCTCAGCAGGTCAGGAGGGGGAGGACTTGGGCAGCAGCTCTTGCACGATCTCGTCACTCTGCTCTCTTGTAGGGTCGTTGTCCTGTACCATTTTATGGTGCTTATTTGTACTTGTAATCTGTTGTATTAAAATCTTTCTAATCGGAAGGGCACAATTAATGTCAGTTTAAGTGACATGAAACGAAACTAATACAGTTTAAGTACATTAAAAAGTTAAAACATGTCGAAGCAATAATATTAAAGAACTGATTATGGGTTATGATGGAAAAAGCAAACTGAAGGAGTGATGACCAAGGCTTGCTCTCCCTAATTTTCAGATGGTCGTAGGTGTGAGAACAAATTTTACAAGCAACACTCTCTTTTTGACAGTGAGAGAGAAGTGGTGTTAGTGTTGTCAGTTGTTCGGGGGGTGCGACAACTGAGCGGATTACCGTTGTTGTAACTGTTTCCGGATTTGTATGCATGAGAAACTGTAGAAATAGTTCTAAAATAATTGTTAGATTTCTCATAGAACTGAAGTGGAGGTTGAAAAGGAGCCCCTAACAGTTTGCAAGAATGCTTACTGGCCGCTCCACTCCATCTGACAATGTTTGGTGACCATTAAGAGAAGGTACCTGTGAGCCTTCTAAAGTTTGCATTTGGTTTTCATTTGTTCTTCTGCTTGAATAATTTTTATTACGTTCTTTGATAGATGTGAATTGCACTGCTGTTGATAATAAGACCGTTCATTAATCATGATCTTTCTGTTCTACTCTTTCTCAAAGGAGCATAGGTTTTTTGGGGTGGGCTGTCGTTCTGCTATTCCCCCACTTATTGTCACAACAGCCTTTTGTTGTAGGCTAGGCTTGGAGTTGAGGGATCAGACCGTGACCACCTAGCGAGTTTCATGGCTGACTGGGAAGTTGAGCTGCATGGGTAGTTCCCAGATGGGTAGTTCCCTGGCATCTTCAGGTAGGGCTGAAAAAGCTCCTGCCTGACACCTGGAATTGGTGGTGGTGCTGGTCAGTGAGAAAAGTGCTGGGCTGGATAGACCAAAGGGGTCCGGCTTGGTACAAAACAGCTTTCTGTGTTCATAACTTACATAGAGTCCAACTCTGGTATGAACTTGGCCTCTGAGCTTGGCGTGTTTGGATACACTTGCCTGTCGTTCCAGGTTCAGACACAACACAGAGGTAGTCAGTTCCAGGTTTGTCTACTTGGTAGCCCAGCCTGGTTTGTGTGACTTTTCGGATAGTGGTTCTCAGCCTTTGGTCCTCTAGATCAGAGGTCGTCAAGCCCCGGTCCCTGGCCTGAGCTGGACTGGGCAGCGGAGACACAGACCTCCCGCCTGCCCCCACTCCCCTCCTCACAGCTGATTTGTGCACGCGTGCACATGCACATGCCAGCGCCAGCATGAGGGCTCCCCGCACCCCTTCACACATGCGCCTGAGTGCCCGGCTGCCCGCCCGCACTCCCCTCCCCATAGCTGATTTGTGCACGCGTTCATGCATGTGCCAGTGCCAGCATGAGGGCTCCCCCACCCCTTCACACATGCGCGTGAGTGCGCGTGCATAGGGGTGGGCAGGTGTGCAGGCACTCCTGCGCATGCACAAAGGGGTGGGGGATGCATAGGGGTGGGCAGGTGTGCAGGTACTCCTGCGCATGCGCGAAGGGGTGGGGGAGTGCTCATGCTGGTGTTGGCGTGCGTGCGCTCCCCCACCGCTTTGTGCATGCGCCCGAGAGAGCACATGAGCACGGTGTGTGTGTGTGCCTCGCCTTCCTCAGAGAGCACATGAGCATGTTGTGTGTGTGTGTGTGCCTCGCCTTCCTCAGAGGCTGAGCCGGTCCACGGTCCCAAAAAGGTTGGCGACCGCTGCTCTAGATGTTGTTACCTTCAACTCCTAGCATCCTTGTCCATGGGCTATACTGGCTGAGGCTTGTGCAAGTTAAAGTCCTAAGCAGCTGGAGGACTGAAGCTTGAGAACCAATGTATAGCACAAGGATTGTCAACATATAACCTGTGAGCCATCTTTTGCCAGCAAGCTTGGATTTACACCTGCTGGCAGAAGAGCAGTGAAGGGCAGTGGAAGATGGAAGTGGGGATGTGTGAGTGCTTTGAGATGGCTTTTCCCAGCTTTAGGTTTTTCTCGTTCAGGATGAAACTTTCCAAGCTCACAGGGCTTTTTTTTCTTCCTGCAACAGGAGAGCGCCACTTTCTGATGAAGGATCTAGTACCAGCAACTCCCAGCGCCTGGGTTCCTCTGAGTTCTGCGTTGGCAGCAGCTTTTCCAAGGTGAGGAAAGGGAGAGAGGTGTGATGGTGCCCGAGGTCCAATTGTGTGGCTTCTTGTTTCCAGCCAGAGGGACTTCGTCGCAAATCAACAATGCTCATCCAATATGTGTGGCATTTACTCTTACAAGATGCAACTGAAGCCATAGGCTTCAGGTTCCTTGAAAGAAATCATTGGCAAATTGCAGTGAAAAACCATGTTTGTCAGTAGCCGAGCTTGGAGAAGTTGCTTTTTTGGACTGTAGAAATGCTGGCTGTGCAGTTTTGATAGATGTGTTTTTAAAAAGTTTTTGACAGCTCTGGTCAGTGAGTCTTATCAATGGCAGAACAGCAACACTTTGCATGTAGAAGGGCATCTGTTTCACCTGTGGCATCAGCAATTTAAAAAGCTTGTGTACCAAGTGATGGTGAAGATCTTTCTTTAGGACCCTGGAGAAATGATGTCATAGATGGTCTTCCCTGGCTGGCACAAGGCATTTTTTGAACCATGCTGATTCAATGGAACCTCCCTGTAGCACCATAGTGTATCTCTGATTGCCAGATGTTGAAGTCAGACTGCAACCCTTGATCTGCTCCTACAAGACACGGGTTTTTATTCTCTTGCCCTGAATTAGTGTTGCAGAGCAGCTCAGAGACAGAATTCCAAATCAGGTGGTCCTCTGTTCGAGCCTCACCATTGTCACCAATTCACAAGAAGTCACTCAGCCTTTGCTTCTCACTCTGTGGGAGTCCAACTGCTTATTCACTCATCTTGGGTTTCGCGAGACTGTGCACATGGCAGTTAGGGAAGCTTTGACCTTCCAGATGTTTTGGACTCCAACTCCCATAATTACTTCTTCTCCTGGCTTTGCTGGCTGGGACCCCTGGCTGTAGAGGTTCAGAACATTCAGAGAGCCCTTGTTTCCTCGCCCTCCTACATGTGGAGAAAATGCTAGAAACGTACAAGTGGATGAGTTTTGTTATCTGAACAACATAGGAAGCTGCCATATACAGAACCTTTGATCCATTTAGCCTGGCCTTGCCGGCTCTGCATGGTGCCAAGCAGGATTCTTTGCAAGCCCTCCCTTGAGAGGCCAGAGGTGGAATCTGGAACTTGTCATCTGCAAAGCATCTGCTCTTCCTTTCTGAAATCTATGAGTTTGGGTACATTCAGGGTGGGAACGTTAATTTTTAATCTTAATTCTTTCTTCCCATTGTTGTAGGTGGAGCTCACAGCCGTCTCAAGTAGTGGCAGCAGTGCCCAAGGGTTAGAGACAGAAGGCATCGTGGAGGAGGAACTTGGGCCTAAGCTTGAGGAGCAGCCCTATGAGCCAGCCTCTTCTGGGAAGGCCTTGAAGGGTGGCGATGCCAGCCCAGACAAAGCTCAGGAGGCGGAACCCACAACATCCGAGAGCAGCGGCCCGGACTGTAGCGCATGGCCCTCTGCTAAGGAGGCGGTGGCGGAGGTTAGCCCTGCTTGCCCAAAGGTTCAGGAAAGCGAGCAGATGGGGAGAGAGAGGAGCACCCCAGCAGCTGGTGCAGCCCTGACTTCGTCCACTGCGGCCACAACTGCCACCGCCGGCACCGGCAGCCCCATGGCCTCTGCCCCAGCCACGTTCACCTTGAAAAGCGTCTGCTTCCCAGCGTCTCAGGCCCCCGCTATGCAAAAAATGGCCCTCTCCTTCCCTCCGGGAGCAGTCCTAGCTCCCAGCCAGCCTTTGGTTTACCTCCCGCCTCTTCCAAGCCCGCTTGGGGTCTCATCGACACTCGCCCTGCCTGTCTTACCCCCTTTCCAGCAGGACTCTTGCCTGCCGGGTCTCCTGGCCCCCTCCGAACTGCGCTCCTATCCCTATGCCTTTTCTGTGGCCAGGCCTTTGGCTGTGGACTCCAAAGCGGTCTCTGTGGAGGCGAGCCAGCCGAGCGGGGGGCCCTCGTCCGGTGAGAACAGCATTCCTGCTCCCCCGGGTCCTTCCCCTCCCACCAGCAGCTCGGACCGTTCGCCCAGCACTCCTGCCCTGGTGGCGTCCTGCGCCAGCGCCATCCCTTTGTCGGGTAGCGGCAGTGTGCTTGCCAGAGCTCCGGCGGCCCCCGAACCGCTGACCCCGGGCGTGCTGACCATCTCGCCCCTGAAATCTCCCCCGCAGTTGGAGCGGGAGATGGTCTCTTCCCTGGAATGCAGCGAGATGCCCCTGGACCTCTCCTCCAAGTCGAATCGCCAGAAGCTGCCTCCTCCCAGCCAGCGCAAGACGCCCCCCATGCCTGTGCTGACCCCCGTGCACCCGAGCGGCAAGGCGCTGCTGACGACGACCGCCCTCTCCAAGTCTCAGCGGGTCGCTCAAGCCATGGGGAGCCCGGCGCCCGCCCCTGCCGCCCCCTTCGTCATCTTCCCGGAGTTCTTGCGTAACGGGGAGCAGGGCGCCTGGGTGAAGAACTCCAGCGCCCTCATCAGCACCATCCCAGGCACCTATGTCGGAGTGGCCAACCCGGTGCCAGCCTCTGTCTTGCTGGGCAAAGATTCCAGTGTCGGATTTAACAGGGACTCCCACCACCTTGCCAAGCAGGAGCCCATTTCTATTATTGACCAGGGGGAGCCCCGGAGTGCTGGGCCCCCTTCTTCTGGGAAGAAGGGTCCTGTCGAAGGGCAGGCAGATGCCCCAAAGCTGCTCCTCCCTGGGAGAGGCACCCCTGGCCCTCCTCTACGCCCAGCCAAGGACCTGTCGCTTTGGAATCCTAGCCAAGGGACTGTTTACCCTCGGTGTTCCGTCAACGGGAAACCCGCCGGCTCTCAGCTTCTGCCAGTGGGATGGCCCCACTATCCCCAGGGGCCTTTGCTCTCCGTTGGCATCTCGGCGGCTGGACTCTCTAAGCCAGCTGGTGCGGGTGAGCCGGCCATCTTCCCTGCCGTGCAGCCCATGGAGCCTGCTGCGGTGTCCCAGAAGGCACCAGAAGCCCCATCCCAGGGCAAAGGTGGCAAGACGGCCTTGCCCAATGCCGCCAGCCCTTTGTGTGTCTCCCCAGCTCTTCAAACCAATCTCCCGGATGTGAGGGGCTCCAAGGGGCTCCCCCCAAACTGTGGCTCAGACAGAAGAGAGACTGACTCAGCAGCCGAGGCCACCCCACAGCCTGAAACGCCCACGGACGGCTGCAGGCACAAGCGCCCCGGGGACCCAAAGCCTAAAAACCAGTTCTTAACGGCCTATCTAGCCCATGGCCTGCCCTTAGCGAGCCAGCCAAGTGTGCGGACGGGCTCGGAGTCGGCGCCTCCCACCGAGAGCCAGTGCAAGGACCCTTCGCAGCAGTGTGACCTGTCCCAGAACCAGCCCAGCACCGAGGTCGCTTCACACCCAGTGCATCAGGTGGACCTCAGCCGGGTGAAGAAGGAGCGGGTGGATCCGGAGGCCCCTTTGGCCCCAGTTTGCTTGCACGCTGCGTCTGCCTCGAGGGATCTCTCCAAGGCGAAGTTCAAGGGGATGGCCCACATCAAGGTGGAGGGAGAATTTCCCTGCAAGGCCAAGCGGCAGCATGACGGATCGGACCGGCCAGCCCACAAGAAATCCAAGTGCCGAATCAGCGAGGAGTCTGCAGCCACCTGCAAGTCAAACAGTCCCAATCTGCATACTCGCAAGGTGAGTGGATGTGGCCAGCCCTGGTACCCAGTGATGGTTGGCCTAATTGGGCTGCAGAGTTTGACAAGTCCTCATAACAGTTAACAAAGAAACCGCCTGGAAAGCCTGATGGCATTCCTTGGAGGTGCTTCAAATCTTACAAACAGGGAAGGTTTGGAAGTGTTTTTTAAATGGATTCATGGCGAGATCAGTAGCAGTAACTTTGCTGTGCTCTGTGTTTTGGGGATGGACCTGCCAATCTTAACTCCAGTGATTCTGCCATGAAAACCTCTTGTGACAGATGTTTGTGTGATGCATGAGAGTACAATCCGTTAACAGCTAGTTGTGGATATTATTGTGTTCTAGACTATTTGATTCAGGATGGATTCAGATGGTTTGTTTGTTTGGGTTTTTTTTTTTTGTTTTTTTAAGTTTTGTAATTTTTGGAGTGGGAGGTTGTTTGTTTTTGCTTCCCATAGACAACCTGTGCTTCTCCGCTTAATTTATAAAGCTGATACAGGGAACATAATTCTGTGAAGAAGTGAATGTGATGTCTTTACAGTTTCCGGGGCAGCCAAATTGTACTTCTCTGGAACACTGAAGTGGTAGAACACAAGGATACGGGACAAAATAAACAAAATAGAGAAGCAAAAGCATTGTGACACCTTAAAGACTGTTCTACTTCAGTGTGAGCTTTCATGGATCGAGTCCACTTGCAAAGTGTGCTGCTTATATATACGCGGCTCCATAGTGCCTAAAGCTCTATCTAGGCAGTTTAGAATGTTAATTTGTACGCATTCCACTACCACCCAGCAAGCTGGGTACTCAGTTTGTCAACCTTGGAAGGAGGGAAGGCTGAGTCAACCTCACGCTGGCTATCTTGAGTCCGGGATTGAACTCAAATTGTAAGCAGAGTCTGTACTGCAGTACTGCAGTTTAACCACTGTCCCATGAGACTCCACTTGCAAAAGTTAGTCTTAAGGCACCCCAGTGTTTTTGCCTTTCTGTTCTGTTTTGTTTGTTTGTTTGTGTTTTTGTCTGACATGCTTCCGCAGACTGAGAGAGTAGTGTGGTTGTTCTGAAATTCTAACAGCTCTTATTGTGTTAATGGGATGGCCTTGGCTTTCCCCAGGACTGACTTTACTTACATTGAGAATTTAATTTTGGGGTTTTTTAAAATGCTAAACAATATCAAATGTCACCCTATCTGCTTTGCAGCCAATCTCGGAAGCAGCTACTTAAGGCATGTGGGGGCGCAGGTTCTCTTGCTCCCGTGTTGTAAACTGGAGGGTAATGGGATGGCTTTTGAGGCTGACTCCAGTGGTTGCTGGATTAAGGAACTGCCTATAAGCAATCACTTGTCCGTGTATAAATGCGGTACAGAATGCCCAGTCTTTAAAGCCCTAGGAAGATTTGAGCGGGACGTCTCTTGGGCTGTCTTTCCCCATGCCCGTCTGTCCTCTTTTCCCAGGTTTTTCGCTGAGGCCCTTCTGTGGGCAATCTCTGTCTTCTCAGGTTCATTGAGTAACAGTTAGGAAAAACCATTTTTAGGGTGTCCTTCCTCCTCCTTCAGGCTTTGGCAGATGTATTTTGTTCCTACTTTGCTGTTATTTTGAAAATTTTTATGTACACTGTGGTTGATGGAATATGTAGTCCAAAACATCCTGGAGGGCACCAGGAAGGCTGGGTTAAGGAGGAGTTGTGTTTGTTTATTTCTGGAGAAGGAGTAAAGTTTCACACTGTTGCGCCTCCCTGAGTTTTCTTCTTCTTTTTACTGCTACATTTTCTGTGGGTTTATCTGCTTGGATATGTTGTATTTTGTTGTGTATTTTTAAATGTTCATTTGCACCGGGGACGTGGTAGTTGAAAGCATGGGACAGGAGTGTAGTAAATACAAATTTTTTTTAGATCTGATAAAGCTGACCGGTGACCTCTCTTTCCTACACCTCCAGTGGCGAAAGCATCACGGCGACCTCCACGAGATCAGCAAGCGAGAGGGTCGCTTGGGCTTCACAAAGGACCGGGGGAATCTCCGCGCTAAACGCAAGCGGCGGAAGGCCTCTCCAGGACACCGCGGGCACAGCTGCGAAGAAGGTATTGAAATCTAATCATGGGCTGATGCCCTGATGAAAGAGCGTGGGTCACACTGGCCTTTGGGTATCTGTCTTCAGTAGGCCCCAGCAGTCATCTTTACGTAACTGGACAAAGTCTGCCTTTGATGGAGGGGCGAGGAACCGAGGGAGGTCCTGTCTACATTATGGGTTCTCTAGCCATGATGTGGGTGTCTCACCTTCTCAGGGATACTGTGGACAGCCTCCCTGAATGCTTGGTTTCCGTTTTATAAACAAAAAAGTATCTAATCCCTTTTGTTTGTCTGTCTGTTTATTTGTTTATTACACACATTAAGAGTGAAACTGAAGCATTGATTCTGGCTTCTCAGTTTCCTTGTAGTTGTTATGCCTTTGTTTAAAAGCTAACTGTTTATCAAGCATATTAAATAATATTTAGATTGGTCACTTTTGCATTGGTTTTCAGTCTCCCCAGTCGTAAAGTGACCAGCTTCAGGGAGTCTCTCCCGCTGCCCCAGGCCCACACACATGCTCCTTTTTAAACAGTGGTCCACAAGTTCCATTCAGACAGTCTATGGAAAAAGCTGTAGAACTGGCAAAAATATTTGACGACTGAGAGGAGGCCGTTTTGCGCCACACTATAGAAAAGGCTGAGAAGGTCTCCCGAGTTCCATAATACAGTGCTGGTTGTGAAAATAATATTGTCATTAAAGAGGGGGAAAGTGTTATTAGAATACCCGTCCATATCCTTTGCTTGGTAGACAGATCTGTTCTGTGAACTGCCAAGAATGGTCAGGCACTCCTCGGTCACGGCAGAGAGTTTGAGGATGGTTGTGTTCTTTCATTGGTGAGGTCTCTCTTGGTTCTACACAGCTGGCATAGCTAAGATCCATGTGAGCTGAAGAAGGGGGTATGGGGGACTTCCTAGCACCAGTAGTTGTGTCTCTCCATTTGGTGGTTAGTTTTCAGATTTCTCTCTCTCTTTTATTAACCCTCCTCCCTGCCCCACAAGCCTATGTTGAGAAGAAAGCAAAGAACAATTTCCGGGACTTCATCCCAGTGGTGCTAAGCAGCCGGACGCGCAGCCAGTCAGGTGGGTGGCTGGGCCAAGGGATCCCTCAGACCTGGTGGGACTGGGGGCTGGGAACAAGTGCCTGGCTTTCTCTCATGCGGGATGCATGGGTGGTCAGACAGAAACAATGTGTGGATGGCATTTTAGTTGTCGTTTTGAGCCTCCTCAAGTGCAAAACACCAGTTACTGTAGAGCAAGATACACTACGAGTGGATTTGGGGCAAATGTAGTTTGAAACAGAGACCAAAATGCTGTTCCATTAGTTACACAGGTAGAAGGGAAATGGCATTGTTCAGTTGATTGCTGCTCATGGATGAGTCCCCGCTTGGATTCTTGGTCACACCCCAGGCCACCCACCTGGTGTGCAGTGAGGAAGCCCAATGGGGACTTCAGTGAACAGCAGTGACCCACTGGGAATTATACCATTTCGCTTCTGCCGGCATAACTAGGGAACAGGATTTTTACCACTATAGGTAAGATTTTGAATAACACCAGTCCCTTTCTCAGGCTGGCGATCTAAATTAAGATCAGTGTGTAGACTTAACATTTCTTTTTGTTTTGGTGGTGGACACATTGTGCAGGATTTCTGAGTGGGACAATTATAGGCGCCCAAAAAGAGAGAAAAAGTTTTATCTGGGTCTGAGGTCCTGATGTAGCTGCTCCTTCTCATTGGGTGTGTTTTCCTCCTTTCAGGCAGCATGGGGGGCTCTTCGGCTGGTATGCTTGGGGAATGCGATGGAGCCGGACAGGATATTGTACCAATGTTGGATGAAGAAGAGGAGGAGGAAGGCGACGGCAGTAACAGTGATGAGGAAGAAGACGAACCGTCCCTGAAGCATCGCCGGCTGAGAAAATCCCACCACCTTGCCCCTCACTTGCGCTGCAGAGACAGAGAGCGAGACTGGTCTCGGTCTGAAAAGGGCACTTTATACCTGAGCAAGAGCAGGGGTCTGTCTTGGCCAGTGGAGGCCACCAGGCAGCTGTGGGGCCGTAAGGAGGCCGAGGAAGAAAGCGGACACGTCAAGCGGAAGAAAAGAAGGCGGCAGAAAAGCTGGAAATATCCGACCGGAGAGTACTTGATAGAGCGAGAGAAAGAAGAGCACACAAGCTGTTGCCACAAGCGGCGGAAATCAAAAGCAGGTAATGGCGGCGGAGGGGGGCCGCAGAGCTGTGGTTTGTGGGAGGTGTCTCAGGGCAGCAGCCGTCAGCTCTGCCCCCATGTTCTGGGTTATTCGAAGACCAGTTGCAGGTGCCACTTGTCCGTCTGACTGTTTAGCAACCTCCTGCTCTCCTTGGGCGACAAGGACACCCACTACAGGCGAATGAGCAGGAAGTCATCCAGAGAGCCAGGTTTTTCTCTGCAAAGTGTTTTTGTCCTATTTAAAAGCTAATGGAGGCTAGCAGTGCTTTTTAGGGTACGCCGAGTGCTTCTTTGCTAGAAGGGCTCTTCACTCGCATACTTGCCATGCCGCCACTCGGCAGCATGCCGCACAGCGAAATAGCCACACATTTATAATTGTTTGAGGACACCCACGCCCACAACCCATAGGTGGAGCGGACAAGGGGAGGGAGAAAGGTTTTGTTCCCATGCGCTTGCCACTTGCAGTGGTGAGTCAAAGGTGACGTGCATCCAGCTGGAAATTGTGTATAAAAGAGACACAGACCAGCATGCTAGAAGATGACATTTATTTATGTACAGGGGCTGACCTGTGTTGACTGGACTGTGTTCTAATGAAAGGCAATACATGAATACATTTATTTAAGAATCCCAAAACATGGAACTCTTCAGTTATATATATTTTGCACAATGTGGCCTCTACTTACATAAAGGCAGGAAGGGTTTTGGGGTCTGTATTAGCCTGATCTGGAAGTGCCTTCTCTTTCTGAGTGGTGAGGGCTCGGCATTACAGGGCCGCTGCTGGTATTTAACTGTGGAAGCATGAAAAAAGGAGAGGGCATATGATGACGGGATTCATTCCACCATCAATTTATCTGCTTGACTGGTTCTAGAAGACAGCGTGAGATGCCTTTTTTCCCCTAATTTGTCTTCTTCTCCTGTTGATGTTCGATTAATTGCAGCATGTTAGAATCTGTAGCTCTGAGCACGCGGCTGTGTGTGAGGATTCTGCTCATTTATTCATTTACAGATTTTTTTAAGCCTGGCTGTTCGTCCAAACCAGGTCCCAGAGCAGCCTGCAGATCAATATTGAAATAAGACGGCCATGCCCTAAGAATTACAGTCCGAATAAGATTGGACACAAAAGTGTAAAGTGGGGGAGGGGAGCCAGTTGCAAGCTTCATTCCTTACCTAAAACAAAATTCGTATACTAACGAGCTAAAATAGAATTTGCCTGCTGAAAGGGTGATGGAGTTCCACTGAGATTTCATGGTCTTAACATGCATGGATGATGAAGTGTATTCAAAATATGGTAAACCATATTTTGGTTATGGTCATTCTCTTGTTTAGATCCTTGTACTTCTGCCCCAAAGGCCGGCTATTAATGTGACCACAGGAGAAACGAGTTCAGACATAGAAGGAGGAGTAATTTGGGGAAAGAGCATGTCCTGTGGCTCCTAGAAGAGGTGGCCGTGTCAGTTTGTGCTAGCATATCATGCAAAAACGAAAGAAAAATAGAAAATAAAGAAGACAAGAATGTTGTGGCATCTTGAAAAAGTAGCTGCTGTGTTTTAATGTGAGCTTTTGTGAACCAGTCCACTTCCTCAGACATAAGGGTGGGATTACATGGCCAAGATGTATACATTTATGCATGGCCTCAAATCAGAGTCTGTATTTAGACACAAGTTGTTAACCTGGCAATGACTTTTAAAACCCCTGTTGATATTCAGTTCCCGTCCCGGGAAGCATTTTTCTGTAAACAATGACAATAATTGGTGGCAAAATTAATGGCAGGCTATAGATAACTAGTAGGAACAGTGTGGTAAGGACTAGTATCTCTAATCACCAATGAGGCTTGTGAGGATAGCACTGGTAGATAGTAAGGAAATCACACATGAACGGTTGGATAGTTCAGTGGCATATATTGGATAGCTGGGAATCTCTGCAGATATTCAGCAGACCTGTCCACGAAAGTTCACATTAAAATATAGCAGTTAGTCTTTAAGGTGTCACAATGTTTTTGTCTTCTTTATTTTCTATTTTTCTTTTGTTTTTGCCTGATAGATTTCATCTAGTTTAAGCATTTGTGGACTGCATCCAGTGAACTTAATGGCTTTACGTTAGTGGGCTGCAGTCCGTTGAAAGCCCATGCCAAATAAAATTTAATGGCCTTTAAGGTGTCACAACAGATAAACAGGGTATCCGCCTTCCTTAGCAATTTTGGTTTATGGGATATATTGCAGAGAGATGTGAAGATACCCATTAACCTTCTAAACCAACTCTTTCCCAAGAAGAAATATATTGGCTGAAATCTAGTAGCAAGCAAGCAAGTAAGTCACATCTAGAGTGGGCCCATTGAAACACTGGACACAAGCAGAAGAATTGACTTACCAAATCCTCACTGATTCAGTGGGCTTACTCCGCTTGCATCTTACTATTAGTTTTCAGCCGTTTGCAGGGGTGTTGGCAGATCTTTTTGGTCTGGGTCGAAGTCTTGGCACCAAGTCCCAAGTCCGAATCTTTGGTGCTAAATCCTGAGTTCCCCCCCCCCCCCCCAGAAAATGGGATGAGGTGGGTGGGTTCCGAATTGTGAGCCAAGTCCTAGTCATTGAAAAGAAAACCCAAGTTGAGTCTGAGTTGAGTTGCTGGTGGGACTTGACCGACTTGACAGCAAGTCCTGCGACTCAAGTCCCCGTGGATCCCTGGTGATTTGGGATATACAGCCAACCCCAAATTGACGAGGCTGAATCTTGTGATTTGGACAAAAGTGTCAGGGCTTTTGGGAATGAAAGTCAGTTTCTCTTCGGGTGGCTTGCCACCCGTATCCTGCATTTGGTGGCAGGCAAGCCAACCTCGGGTGAAACCTCTGTCGCTTCACAGAACGGGGCTACAGCAGCCAGCAGGGGGCAGGGTTCTCCTGCAGGAGGCCGGCGGCAGGCTGCAAGGGCGGTGGGAGATTCCTGGAGGCACCCTTAGAAGCCTAAAAATAGAGAGGAAACGGAAGGAAGGCTGTGGGGAGTGCATTGTGTGGGGATGTGCAAGTGGAGTTGGAAAGGCAGCTTCTCTTGGGAGAAGTAGTGAAGGAATTCTTACGATTTCCCCGATAATAATCTTAGAACTGCAGAGCTGGAAGGGACCCTCTGGATCATCAAGTCCAGCCTCTATCTGGGAGGCACCGCAGGGGAATCAAACTCCCAACCCCTGGCTCTGCAGTCAGGGACCTAAACCACTGAGCTATCCAGCCATTCATGCAGTTTTTGCTAGTGAATCCTTTGCTCCTGGACCCCTGGCCAAAGGCACAGGCCCCTGTTTTTTAGAATCCATTGTTCTTCTTCGTCGCCTCTGCGAATCACACCATGGGTGAACCGCGCCTGCGCGGAGCCTCTTCAGAAAGTTCTAGACCTTCTGCAGTTGCAAAAAAACACATTAGAATAAAGCCCCTCCCCCCTCGTATAAGTACCTTGGCACCAAGGCTCCCTTGTCAGTTTCTTTCAACCACCACGTTGAGAGCCTCATAGTTTCTGCTTCTGTGAGTAAAAGAGAAAGAGACTTTATTCTTGATTCCTTCCCTTTATCAGTCTTTTTTCCTTTAAGTTTTTAGTTCAAAGTCATTATCAATCAGAGATTTTTTCCTTTCTGTTTCACTCGGCCCCCGGCCGCAGCTCTCCCGCCTCCCAACCATTGCTTTTTCTCCTCAAAGTATTTTTCTCCTCTTACATAGCCCCTTTGGGCCCGTTTAAACACTGCGTGGTCTGTGATAGTAAAATACCACTCTCCGACAGCCACGGCAAGTGTCCTTTTCGCTTGGGAGAGACACACCAGTTGTCCTCCTGCCAGCATTGTAAAAACTTCAAGCACAGAGTCCCCTGCTCTCACTTATCCAGGTTAAAACTCCGTCTTTGGGAACAATCCCTTCAGCCAACTAAAATGGCCCAACCGCCTTGTAAGGCCACCTCACAAACCAAAGCAATTGAGAAGGCTCTTTCTGAAACCTCAAAACAACGTCCATCGACCACACCATCCCGCTCTGACACTCCGTCCACTTCGTCTAAAACGTTTAAAAACCCATAAGTTGAAGCACTTGGTACCAAAATCCTTGATATCGAAGCCCTCTACTAAACGTCAAATGTCCACCAAAGCCTCTTTGGTTCCGGAGCCTTCTCTGCCTAAAAGACCTAAACAGCATAAATCTAAAGCTGCAGTCATTTCTCAGCAGCCTCAACAAACCACTGAATCAATCTCTGTTGGTTCACCTTCTGAAGATGACGGAATCCCCTCTTATCAACCCTGCTCCCAATCACCAGAATGGGATGACAGAGCCGATCAATTAACATCTTCTCCTCCCAGTTCTCAACACTCTACTCTTTCAAGCAACCCTTCCGTAGTTGCTTCACCTGACAGGGTCAACTCCGAACAGCAACTAGAGATCATACCTTATTCGGTAACATCTGGTTGTCCACCATGACCACCTCAGAGACATCGGCCCCTCTCATCAGGTTGCCATTTGCAGTGCTCGACCGGATAAACTGCAACTGCCAATCAGCCAGTTGCTCTATCCAACTTGACCATACCTTCCCATGGCAGGCCTCAATCTCGACAGCCATTGATGTCAAAATGTCCATATCACCATGACCCACATGGACTCCAACCTGTTCCCTACCTGGCACCTAAAAGGTCCAGGACGGTCAAGCAATTCTCTTCTACACACAAGGCTTTTACAGCTCCAGTCTCCCGATATTTTCCTGCTAATCCAGATGAGGGAAAACATTCCTCTCACTCGGCATCTCCAGCGTCTATATATTCCACTGCTTTATCAGCTCATCAACAGCCTCCGTTTTGACATCACTGAGACACAGGCTCTGATATCGATGATCCTCAATATCCATCCTGGTCCATGGACACTCGTTCGGTCCCTCTATCGATGCACGATTTCCATCGCCCGATAGAACCGAGCCATCAAACTCAACATCATTATGATCCCAAGTTTGATACTGATGTGCAACCATAGCAAACGACATCCATGGACACTCGGATGACATCTCTTGGTATCGAAAATCCTCAACACCAACAAATGTCCATGGACATGTCGGCTCCATCAACATCGAGCCAAAAACTTGGGAAGATGGCTTTATTCATCAGCAGTATTCACTATGCGTGTCGCTAACTACCAGGGAGCCATGGATGCATATCAACGTTTCCTTTGGGACAATAGGTCAACCTTTATCTAATCTTTACCAGAAGATAAAAAAGTACTCGCCTATACCTTGCAACAAGAAGGTCTTTCCATGCCAGACAACAGATGTTTTCTGCTAGGCACACAGTAGACACCACAGCAAAGTCAATGGCCACTTCAGTAGCCTTACGTCATTTCTCTTGGCTAAGGACAGCTAGCTAGCTTGGCTGAGGATGCCTGTGCATGTATCGAAGACCTTGCATTCGACAGGGCAGGCCTCTTTAATGCTGAAGCTGATGATATTTTGGAAAACTTGCAAAAGAAAAGATCAGCAGCTAGACGTTGGGGAGTTTACCCATCTTACCAACAACGCCCCCAACAAAATCAGTGGAGACAACCATACAACTCATATCAAAAATTCCAGTGTGATCCTCCAAAACAAACATCTTTTGCACCATATTTCAGAAATCAAAGAAATAAACCCTGCCAACAACCCATTACTAGGTGCAACGACTGCAAGCCCAAACATCATGTTTGATGCTCCCATGACCAAGATCGCACACCACTCCACCCATCCTGCCCTCTGGAAACACCTATCTGTCTGGAAATACATCACTACAGATGCCTGGGTACTGTCCATCATCCACAACAGCTACCACATCAACTTCCTCTGGCAACGCATGTCATCACTCCACCATCTCCAACCCTACAAGAGGAAATAAAAAAATTTCTCCTCAAAGATGCCATACAACCTGTCTCACAACACAACAAAAGGTTTTTCTCTTGCTATTTCACCATACCAGCTCCAGGAGTACTCACCACGTGCATGGCACCGGTAGCTGTTTACCTCAGCATGCAAAAAATTCTCATATTTCCATATATCAACAATTGGCTCCTCATAGCTCATTCCCGTCGCAAGGCCCAATGAGACACTCACTTCACCCTTACCCTCCTTCGCGATCTCGGTCTCGCTGTCAACGAACAGAAATCAAATTTGAAACCTGAAAAGATTGTTCATTATATAGGCACATGCATAGATTCCACCCAAGCTCGCACCTTTCTTCCTCCAGACAAGAGAGAAAATCTCATCGCATTACTCAGATTATCCCCCCTCATGCTATGGTACCCGCCTTGACTGTGCAACGCGTGCTAGGCACCATGGCCTCTGTGACTTCAGTAGTTCAGCACATACGTCTCAAGATGAGATCTCTTCAGTCATGGTTTCTTGCCCTCTTCGACCTTCTCACAGACCCTCCTCACGCTCTTTTAAGGGTCACCCCAGAACTCGCCTCCCAACTTCAGTAGTGACGTTTTCCCCCCAACCTGTCCGTCGGGTGGCCGTTCCAACCACCACGGCCACAAATACAGGTCACCACTGATGCCAGCCTCACAGGCTGGGGAGCTCACTGCAAATCTCTCAAAATCCACCCCAAGTGGTCTTCCAGAGAGAAATTGCTTCACATCAACAAATTAGAGCTGTTGGCGGTTATAAAAGCTTGCAAAGCTTTCAGAAATCTCCTCGCTCGCAAGATGGTACAAATTGCCACTGAAACACCACAGCGATGTACTATATTCTGAAACAAGGTGGCACCCACTCTCCAAGTCTCCTCTATTTAGCGGTCGACTTCTGGGAGTGGTGCCTAGCACATCATATCTGCCTCATGGCTTTACACATTGCTGGCCACAACAGGGACTTGGCCTATCTACCCAGCTGCATAAACTCTCAAGCTCACGAATAAGAGTTAGACCAATTTTTCTTCGCCTATGCAAACGATGGGGCAAACCAACTCTCAATTTCTTCATGATTCACAGAGGCCACGAAGAAGAAGAACAGGTTACCCACCTGTAATTGCAGTTCTTTGAGTGGACCTCTGTGATTCACACATCCCGCCCGTCCTCCCCACTGTCATGTCATTCCGCTTAATGTAGCGGTGGTTGACACAACTGAAAGGGGATCCTTGGCACCAAGGTACTTATTCGAGGGGAGAGGGGCTTTATTCTAATGTGTTTTTTGCTACCGCAAAAGCTCTAGAGAGTTTTCTGATGAGGCTCCACGCAGGCGCAGATCACCCACGGTGTGAATCACAGAGGTCCACTCAAAGAACTACAATTACAGGTGGGTCACCTGTCGTTTCTGGATATCATTAGCTTCCTAAGCCACCTTTATCGCTAAAGGTCTGTGAGTTCAAGCCCTAAGTGTAGCCCTAAGCATGTGGCTAGTTAAAGCCATGCTTTAGTCTTATAGTCCTGATTAAACTTTATGCAAAGGAAGTGGTCTTTGGCAATGCATTCTGTAAACCTCGATTGCCAGTTTCTTGGCTGACAGGGGGCTCTTACTTGGCAATGCCCACGTATGGTGATGATGCAGTTAATTAAACAACAACAACACAGGGATGTGAGAGTGGAAACTGCAGTTCATTTAGCTTCCTTGGCCCTCTAATCACTTTTTTTTTCTCTTTGTGGATTCACTTGGCAGACTTTAAGTACCGGAAGCACAAGGGCTCAGCCTTGGGGAAGGGCTCTGAGCTGCACCTGAGAAGTCGGCTTCCTCCACCCCTCCAGGGGCACCTGGACTTCCACAACGGATTCCTCTTGGATCACCCCAACTCGTCTCCCCTTCAGGAGGTGCTAGAGAAACCCTCTGGGAAACGCAAATGCAAAACCAAACACTTGTCAGGCATCTGCGAAGAGGGGAAGGTACAATATTAGCAAGGTGGTGGGTGGCTAAACGTTTCAAGGGTGGGGGGGGTTAGATTGGAACTAAATAAAAGCTAGATAGCAAGGTTGGTGATAAGCAGGCATATGCACGGTAAAAAGTTTTTTATATTTTTCGTTCTGGGAAACTTACTCTGGGCTTCTCCTTCATGTTTCCCCTTTTGTGCTTTGTAGCACTTCAAAAGCTCTCTAAAGAACCTTAAAAGCTGCTCAGAGAAAGTAAAGGCAAAGCAACAGAGAATCAATCTACTCCAAAAGAAAAAAAGATCATAGATTTATGCAGGCACTAGTTTATATTGTCACATTCATCATAATCATTGGACAACAGATGAAAAAGAGGAGTTATTAGACTAAGCAGGCACTACCGTTTTCCCCCCAAATTAGGATGTTTTGCTTTGTTTTGTTTGTTTGTTTGTTGTGTTTTCCCAAATTAGGATGTTTTGCTTTGTTTGTTTGTTTGTTTATTTTCATGTACAACCATCTACATTGATTCAAAGACAGTCCTGTCCTCTTCTTTTGGTTGCTGCACAAGGGTGGAGGGCAGGGTTTCCCTTCACTGGGACTTATTTTTGGGGTAGGGCTTCTATGACGAGCATCCTGAAAAGCCATACTAGGACTTATTTTCAGGTCAGGTCTTATTTTTGGTAGTTTGCATATCATCAACATCAAGAAAGAAGAGTTTAGATTATCACATTTATCATCGTCGTCGTCGTCATCATCGCATCAGTACCCTACATTCATCCTCCTGAGTGATCATAAAAGGCCTTGAGCTTGGCTTGCTTGGCGCTGATCGCTCACCTCCCGCTCTCTGCAACCCGTAGTGCCCTCTGTACATGGCATATAGGCAGTGCTGCCAGTGCCTGGTGTTCGCGCGGCCACCCACCTTCTCAGATTCTTAGGAAGTAGTTGTAGAAGAGGTAGCCGTGTTCATCTGTGCGAGCATTATAGGTGGAAACAAAATTAAAAGTAAAGAAGAAGAAAAATAAAAGAACAAATAAATAGGACAAAAATGTGGTGGCACTCCGCCCCCCTTAGGAAAAAGGCAAGGAAGGAGCCAGCCAGACACAGTGTGTGTTCGGCTGGCTGGCATCCAGACACCTTCACTCAACCAACCAACCAGACAACTGCCAACAACACAGCACTACGAACAGCAAAGGAGGGCAGCCCCAAGCTGTACCAAACCCCTCACAGAGCCCACTGGGAGAAGAGTACAGTCCCACGTCCACCCCCAGCCTCATGCCTTTTGTGACTTTATTTTTTGGGCATAAAAGGCCCATCCCAAGTGAAAAGTGGGGGCTTTAGATCTCTGGTGGATCACCTGTTTTGCGTGCATGTTTTGGCCTCTTCAGTTGAAGGGACTGGTGCTAAGGGATTCAAGGGGAGCCATCTCTAGCTGAGACCCTGGAGGGCAAACGGTCATCAGAGCAGGTAGTGCTGGACTAGATGAACCATTTGTCTGGCTGCATATAAAGCAGCCTCTTGTTTTTCTGAGAACGGATCTCCTCGTGGGGCTGCTTTTCAATTTTCATGTTAAAGAAATGACACTAGTTCTGAGTTTGGTCGGACCACAAATGCTGGGAGGAGTGTATTGAAGCTGTGCAAGAGAGAGATTAAACAGATACACACTGGGAGACAGTGCTGGTCAAATCGGCTGTAGTACCACAACAGGAGCTTTTAGACTAGAGAAGGCAAACTGTAAACAATCAAACCATGGATCGGTGGTGTAATGCTTTCTTTTATGTGATTTAGTGTGATTATGTTGTGTACTGCCCAGAAAGTGCAGAAAAGGAGGGAGGGAGGGAGGGGCTGATGATGGATGGATGGATGGATGGAAGGAAGGAAGGAGCTGATGATGGAAAGGAGGAAGGAAGGAAAATTTTCATTTACACAAATGCAGAATTAGGATTAAGTCTTGGATGTATAGGTTAGCATCCTCGGGAGTCTTAGTTTTCTTTTCTTACAATAGGTTTGCAGCTCTTAAGATTTGAAACCCGTGAGATTCCCAGCGACTGAAGGCCAGAGGAGGTTGTTGGTGTTGGGTGTGGCAAACACAGTTTCCACTGATAGATTTTGGTGTTGGGTTTCGTTGTAGCTTGTAGTTCTCTTGCCTTCAGCACAGCTTCAGCAGAAGCAGAATTGAGTCTGCAGGGATGTATACATTTGCATCCAGAGTGCCTCCAGCTTGCAGAACTTTGGAACTTGGAGGTGTTTTGGAATATAATTCTGCACAAATTAACCTGGTTCTGCCTTGCCACTCCTCTGACCAAGTTCCTCCGTCTTTCTTTTTCCAGGCCAAGGCACGGTGGAATCAGTCCAAGACGACGCGTTCTCCAAAGAAGTCCCGGGAGGCAGGCTCGTACAGCAAGTCCCGGCAGCACAGCTCCGAGAGAGCCTCCGAGCACCCAGCCGCCCCACCGGTGCCCCCGGAAGCTCGACGTTTGATAGTGAACAAAAACGCCGGGGAGACGCTGCTGCAGAGAGCTGCCCGGCTTGGCTACAAGGTGGCTGTTAGTTCTGCGGGAGAAAGATCCAAAGTTTCTCTCTTTTTTTGGATTAGAGTTCCTAGAAATCCTAAACCAGCATGGGAGAATCTGGGAGTTGTAACCCAAAAACAACAGCAACAAACAAGCAAGGTTTTCTAGCTCTGGGAAGGACTAGGAGGGCATGCGTTGAGCGGGTGATCCTTGCTAGCTCATGTTGAGACAGAGCTGTGTTCTTTCTCCAGGATGTGGTGATGTATTGCCTGCAGAAGGAAAACAATGATGTCAACCACCAGGACAATGCCGGCTACACAGCCCTTCACGAGGCTTGTGCCCATGGATGGGTAGACATCCTCCAGATCTTGTTGGAGCACGGGGCAAATGTCAACTGCAGTGCACAGGACGGTACCAGGCAAGTGTGCTGTTCATGGGGAGCTAAACAAATGGGGCGGGTGGTGATGGTTGGGGGACTGGACTAAAGCACAGCGGCCCATTTCCCAGAGGGCCAGGTATTCTGCGGAGGACGTCCCATCCTAACCACCCAGTCAAAGGTCATTGACTTACTGTACTTCGGGACATTTTTAAAAGAGTACTTGCAGTCATTTGTTTCAGGAGATACGCCATGGGGTGGGGAGAGAACAAAATGGCATTGTGACAATCTAAAACGAACAGATTTATTTCAGTGGAAGCTTTTATTGATTACAGTCCAGTTTTTCAGACACACAAGTCAGAAACTAATTGAAGAAATAGGGTGGCATAATACTGCGATTGATGACGTCGGTGTAGGTATTCATGGTCACATCTCAAGATGCGTGACTGGGGTGCAGCACCAAATGCCTCTCCTGACTGAACTAGGAGTCATTCATCACTGAGAATTTATGTCAGTTGATTTACACAGGCAAGGAGAAGTAATAATAGAATTCTGGCTGAGGAGTGCCACGTACAGTCATTATTTGTATGCACAAGGTATATTCTTCTCAAGTGGGAATGGGGACCAAATGAAGAGGGATACAGGCCTAGGTGACAGTTAGGGGTGTGGCATTCATTTTGTTTGCTTTTTGGGGGGGCTGGTTTTCTTTTGATTTCAACTCCCAGAATTCTCCCAAGAATTCCTGAAGCAGATTCTGGGATTTTGAGACCACAGACCTACTCTTGCAGACATCTGCACTTCACTCACCTTGCAAAAGGCCTAATTCCACCCCCCCACCTCGTAATCTAGGCCTTCATTTCCTGCCGCAGTTCTGGCTGGGAGGAAGCGGCTGCTGTGCTTTTGAAGCGTGGTAGTTCTTCGAGAAGCACCTTCTATACAGCTTAAAAGGCAGCAAGACTACCAGACTCAGGAAGCATGGCAGCAGGAAATGAAAGAGTGACAGCCGATGGAGCTCTGGAGGGGAGGCCATTTCTCCAAGAATGAAAATGCCTGGAGGTGTGAATACGTGGGCTGAAACTCCCAGAACTCTGCCTTGGGGAATTCTGGAAGCTGGAATTTAAAAAAACACACACATTTTCTAGTAATGAACTTTCAGAATGACAATGTCATTGTTAACAGAAAGGAATTTTCAGAGCATTTACTCCATCAGTGTCCTTACAGTGGGTAGAGCGACTGACTAGTGTAAACGTTCCAAGTGCCAATATAACGATTGTCTTAAAAGTGCAGTGAATTTTGCTTTCAGGGGAGTTAGTCCTCCTTGAATCAAGTTCAGATTTTGAAGCTAGAGTTTTGCCAAAGGAAATAGCTTTTGCCCACCCAGAAGATGAGAGAGAAAAAGCTAGCTTGTTGCATTTATAGCCAGCTAAAGTGCTTTAGATTTTATTTAAGTCTTTAGAGGTGGTGCAACTGGTACACAGGAATTTCATTTTAGGAAGTTCTTAAATCTCCCTTTATAACTTGCTTTTTCTTCTGCAAAAGCCACTTTGAGATGAGTGACAGGCTATCTGGGAAGGCTGAGGTGTCCTGAAGCTGGTTTTTGCGGTCTTGCCTTTGGTGATGCTAGATTTATGCACATTTATTCTCTAGCACAAAGACTGTCATATGTCGTATGCAGAGGGGCCCTGGTGGCACAGATCACGTCAGTAGAGGAACAAGTAAACAACCCTGTAATGTTCTCAGTGACATTACTTGGGCCCATGGTGCTGCTGCTAGAATACATGTGGGGATGCAGTTGGTATTTAGGTTTGTAACAGCACCCGCCTGTCACATCTTCTCAGTCTAGCTTAACTCATAGAATGGTTGTTAAGATGAAACCGAGGAGGAGAAGATGCCATGTTTCCTCGAGGTCCTTGAAGGAAAGTTGGGATAGAATTATAAAAGGTGAAATGAGTCAACGTTTCCTTTCTCAGAGCATACACACCATTTAACAGTAAACTGGACTATGTGAAATGGCAGGTGGTAACATTTCCTATTGAAATAAAATCCCATTTGAAAGCAAAAACTAAAGCAATGTGCAGCCTCAGATGGTATAATCCAGTAGCCGTGGGTGCGGCTTGGCTCCTTTAAAGGTGTAGCTTGGCATTTATGTGCTGAACAGGGCATAAATGAATACTTTCGTACAGGACTCTGCCTAGACTGGCAAGTGCCCTGCCTGGTATCTGTCAGAAATCTTTCCCAGCTATCTTTGAGACCTGCCAGGCACAGGATTCTAGGGGCTGAGTCACCCGACTGTGTGCACATCCGAGGTGGGGGAGCCTCATTCTGCCCGAGAAGGTTCTCCAGGAATCACATTCCAAGAGTGGAATGAGATTCTTGTGCTACCAGCAGCTAAGCCCTAGGAGCAGCTTTTTAGCGTTCTAGAATTTGAGGGATGGGGGTACATCAGCCGGCAAACTGCCAAGCGTGGCTGTCCTGGGGAAAGGGGTGTAGCCTCTTGGGAACCCCTAGAAAAGCCAGATGGGAGCCCGAAGGCCAAAGATCTATTGCTTTCAGTGTAGATGAAAGATGTGTGCTTTGCCCTTGAGAGACAGTAGTTTCCCTCGTTTCCCTTAATGGACCCTGTGTTTTAGGAAGACCAGGAGAGTAGTAGTGATTTTTCCACGTTTAAAAATGCTTGAAATAATTTGGTGGGGGGTAGGGGAGGCAATCTGGTCAGCTGGAGAAAGCAGAAGAGAATAATGCAGGGTACTGAATGTGGTGGAAACACCAGCAGGTAGAACAGTTCAGCTTGCAAGTTAATGCTAGGTCCTTGGAAATCTGTTCCCATATATTTCCTCACTATGTCCTAGCAGTGGTCACCAACCTTGGGCCCTCCAGATATTCTTGGACTACAACTCCCAGAAGCCTTCACCACCACCTCTGCTGGCCAGGATTTCTGGGAGTTGAAGTCCAAGAACATCTGGAGGCCCAAGGTTGGGGACCACTGTCCTAGGGAATATGGGGAGTCCGGATGGCCTTTGATATCCTCCAAGCTTTTGATGCTGCAGGGATAGACTTGATGGCTTCTCCTTATCCGGCAGACCCGTCCATGATGCAGCGGCGAACGACAACCTGGAGATGATGTGGCTCCTCCTCTCTTATGGTGCTGACCCCACCCTGGCCACGTATTCAGGACAGACCGCCTTGAAGCTGGCCAGCAGCGAGGGGATGAAAACCTTCCTTAGCGGTAAGCTTCCCATCCGCAAACTGCAAGCAATTCATTTGAATGGTGGTTTTTTCTCTCTCTCTCTCTTTTATTAAAAGTGAGATGAATTTCAAACTGGAATAGAAAATCCTCATCAGTTTTGCAGGAAAGTTGCCTAATCCACAGAATGCAATGAATTTCTTCAAAAAGCAAAAGCAAAGTGTGCTGCTTATATACTGCCCAGTAGCACTTAACACACTCTCTGGGCAATTTACAGTTTAATTATGCAGGCTACACATTGCCTCTGTCCCACCCATAAGGTGGATACTCAATTTACCGACCGACCTTGGAAGAATGGAAGGTCGAGTCAACCTTGAGCTGGCTACCTGAGTCCATCAGGGTCAAACTCTGGTCATGAGCCAATTCGTAATCAGTGCTGGTTGGTATTTCCACTGAAATAGGCCTTTGAGTCTGTTTGTGGAGAAGGGTTTTTACCTAAGAAATGGTGCGATCAGGTGGGACACATTTTGCCTTTTGGAGTTGTTGGCCTGCAACTCTTGACCTACCTTCTCGGCCAGCATAGCCAGGGGTTATGTAGGATCATGAGAGCTACAATCCAGCAATTATTCCTCCATCTGTCCAGTAGATTGTGCAGGAAGGATCTCTGGACACTTGCTTGTGAACCTGGACTGCAAAAGCAGTATGGCCTTCTCATCCCCCATCTTTTCTTGTTTCTTTTTAGTTACATTCTTTGGAAAACTTTCTGAAGCACTCCAGGGCACAGTGGTCTTAAGCTTATTTGTTTCTTTTTGTCTTCTTGAAGATTACCTCTCGGATCTGCAGGGGCGAGCCGACGGGGATCCCCGAACAGCTTGGGACTTCTACAGCAGCACCGTTCTGGGTGAGCAGAGTTCCAGCTCTTCGGATTGATCAGGAGTGGATTGTTTCCCTCCAATCTGGGACCAGTGGGCTTGCAGCAAGCAGAGAGGAAGCAAGAGTTTTTCTTACTTTTAACATGAAACCAACAGTTTGGGGATTCCTTATTGGAAACCACTCGGTTCCAAGCCCCCCCAGCCAAGAAAACAAAGGAGGGAGAGAACCTGAAAAGTAGGCTGGGCCAAAGCATCTTGCAGGAAACACAATTTAGCTACAAGTTCCTTTTTGTGCTAATGCTTGAGATAGTGACATTATATGTAACGAACAGCGGTGACATGAACTTACTGGTATAGCTACATTTTAGAGACCGTTTGACAGGAATTTTTTTTCCAAATTTTATCCCATTCGTTGTATTCTCAAAGGCTTTTTTTAAAAAAAAATCTCATTCTCTTGTCAGTTCTGAATTTCCAGCATAACAAGGAGCACAGCTCACTTTCTGAACATAGTTACACACAATGACAAATTACTTTTTAAGCACTAAAATCTGTAATGGGTAGGGGGAAATGGATCACCTAGAAAGACGTTGACTCTAAAAGGAGTCAGGTTGACCAGACAGTGTGTTTCCTCCTGGCAAGCAAGGATTCCTGAAGTGCAAGCTGGCCTTGGCTTGGTTGTGCCACTGAAGGGAAGCCTTCTGACTCAGAACACCTTGGGCTTAGAACTGCCTTTGGGCAGCTGCTATCCCAGCCTAAGGTGAGCCTGCAGCCATTAAAGGCAAGCTACAGGACCCTTCAGATGGGCAAGTTTAGGTCTGTCTTGCCCCAGAATTCAGTTCATCTCATGGGAGCAACAGGAGCTGGTTTCTTCTCTGTCCAAAGAAATAAGGAGATGAACAAAGAGGAGAGCAGAAAGCCGGCTGAACAGCTGGCTTTCCCCTGCACCTGGTATGGGAATCTAGCCTGCAGCCAGCCAGTGCTGTGAATTATGTGATAAGACAGTGAATTTTTAAAATCTGCCTTTAAAGAAAAATTGGGACAACCCAAGAGAGTTGAATTCTCTGCCCTATAGAAGGGATGCAGACTGAGTACATTTTCATAGTTTCTCTCTTCCTGCCTCATTCCTGAACTTTGTGAACTTCTGCACCAGTGTTTTGTGATTTTACTAGTTTTGTACAAGGCGGAGGAGCTGTTTATTCCAGCTGTTGGATACTTCACTTTGGGGCCTTTGAAATTTTGGGGGATGCTTCTCGGACATCTCTGCAGTCAGCGGGGCTAGGAAAGTGGGCTTTTAAACACCAACCAATGAGCTAACCCGCACCTGTAATGGGTGTGTGTAGAATTGGTTTCTACATCTGCTCTTTGCTTAATTGGCACATGCCACAGCGCTGTGTGTGGTCTCGGGGTCTGGACGGTGCGTTTTGGGCCACTGCTCTTGCTCCAGGCTGGGTGTCTGCTGCAGCCGGTCTTGGGGGTGGTGGTTGCTATGGTGATCGCTGGCTTTCCTGCGAGTGAACCAGCTACCAAAGAGGCTTGGGGAGTAAAGCAACGTGTGAGTACAGAGCACGGGAGCGGGGGAGGCAGCAGTCTTTTACCTCTCTCCCTTATCTCCCCCTCTCTGTTTCCCGCATTTCAGAGGGGAAAGATGAGATCGGCTGCGACCTTCTGCTCAACCCTCCCGGGAGCTCAGATCACGAGGAAGAGGAGGATGAGCAGGACTCAGACCGCCTCATGTTCGAGTTCTCCGACAAGCAGCTGCTGCCCTGCTACAACCTGCAAGTCTCCGTTTCCCGAGGGTGTGTGTTCGGTGCTGTGTCCTGACGGGCATTGTTGAGGCCTTTGGGAGCGGTGCCAGTGGCCCACTCTTCTGCCTCTCTTGGGAGGAGGAGAGCCGTGCGGAGCAAAAGGCCTGCGGGGAAGGGCCCACGTAATTGGATGGCGGCCCCGGCAGTTACCACCAGGGGCAGGAGGACCTGCCGCTGGTTGTGGAAACAAAGGCGCCGGGAGCAGCTTTTCAGCGCTTTGGGGAAGGGATGGTGCAGACGTGTGTCTGCTGACCAAGTCAACAACCCACATCCTCCCCCCCCCCTTTTCCCAACCTTCCTGGGCTTGCACAGGGCGGTGGGTTCTTGCCAGCTGCTCTGAGAAGGGAGGGGCATTGGGACAATCTGCCATGGCCGACGACAGGAAGGCAGAGGGAGACAAAAGCGACGATGTGAACGAGCAGGCTTTATGGCACGGGAGGCCTGCGCTGCTTGTTAAGGGAGAGACTGACCCATTTCAAGAGAAGTGAGAATAAGATAAGGGCGGGGGTTCTTCTTGAACTGTGCTGTTGCCAATGCAGATTTGTGACCCGAATAAGTGATGCAACATAAGCAGAGCTGAAAATGCATTTGTCTGTTTTGCATCATTTATTCCACTTTTGCTAGACAGAGGCTGCAGGAGAAACGGGAGAAAGGGCACACGCAGCCAGCCAAGCCAGCAGCGTAGAAGACCATAGCCGCCTCATCACCTGATTGATCAAATCAAGTATTGTCAGACCCTGCTCTGGGAGACCATTGTTAGGGAAAGATTGAAGTGTGTTCAAGATTAGCACATGTCTTTTGAGAGCCAGAAACTGGACATAAAAAGGAAACAAAAGAGACCTGAAATTTTCAGCCTGTGCTCTACATAGTTGCAGCTGTGGGAGGTGACAGGCGGGTGTGCTGACGTCTGATGCCTGTATGGGAGTGGGAGACTGAGGGATGGATCAGCGGGCAAGTAGTCATTATATGAAGCAGCATAAGAAAGATGTTGGCCTGAGGCGTGCAGAGGGCTTCTCTTGCTGGGATTTCCCACATTTTGAAATGGTAGGAAAAGGGGTTTCTGTTGAAACGGGAGGATTTGGCTTGCAGCCCTGATTCTTCCCCTTCCAGACATCACGAGGTGGGAGAGGGGAAGAGGAATGAGGGGATGCCCGGGGACCTGGTTCCGCTCCTGACGGCCGCCCTGCCTGCCTTTTTCTCTCCCGACCGCTAGGCCCTGCAACTGGTTCCTCTTCTCAGACGTGCTGAAGCGGCTGAAGCTGTCGTCCCGCATCTTCCAGGCCCGCTTCCCGCACTTTGAGGTGACGGCCCTGCCGAAGGCAGAGTTCCAGCGCCAGGTGTCCCTGAGCCAGGTGTTGGCCCAGGAAGACATCCGGGAGCACCCCGTGTCCCCCTCGGCTCCGGGCGCCGCAGAGACGGTGGAGTTGGTGCGCTATGAGCCGGAGCTGGTTCGACTGCTGGGTTCAGAGGTGGTCTTTGAGGCCTGGAGCAGCTGACGCGGGGAGGGGGACGGACCCTGGAGACACCCCTCCCTCCCTCTGCAGCCGTAGGACTGCACCGCAAGGCCATCATATGGACCGACGAGAAAGCAGCCTTCGGTGGGCTGGGGCGCAGGGGTGCCACCCGCGGGGACCTCGCTGGCCCGTAGCAGCAGGTGCTTGCTGGCCCGCTCTGCCGTGGGCATCGGTGGAGGGGGCCGGACGCGGCCCGCTCCCTCGTCCTGGATTCTGAACTCTCGTCGGCCTGCTCGCAGCCCTCGGTGGTCTTGAAGCCTCTCTGTGGAACTGCATCTCTTTCCTCCTCCCCACCCCAAGCTCTTCCAGAGTATTTATTTAATTAGTATATTTAATTTGTGGTGTTCTCCCCCCCCCCTTTTGCAGAGTCTGTATCACTGTGATTTGTGGGGCAGGTGATGGGGAAGGCCACCCACCCTGGCTGGTCTGCTGTGAAGGACCAAGCGGCCCTTCCTTAGCCCCGTTTTCATGAAATGGGGGTGAGAGAGGTGAGAGGGGCCCCCATCGTGTCTCCCCCCCCTGACGTTGAAGGCGACTCAGCTTCTGTTGAGGCATTTTCCTTCTTTTCCCCTCCAACCTTTCTGTTAATGTTATTTCATCTCTGAAATTCAGCCTGCTGGTTTGGAGAGAGGCAGACAAGAGACTGAATCAGGAGAGGGCCAAAGGCCAGCTGGTTTTTCCCCCACAGCCCTCTTCCTGCTCCCCGATCTCTCTCTTCCTCCTGCCCCACATTATTTGAAAAAGCTCCCCTTTGTCAATCAGTTCAGGCGGCAACCCAGTCGTTCCCGTACAGCGTGGGCAGCGGAGGCGTCCCCAGGGCAGAGGGCCGGGCCTGGCATAGATGGTACAGTTTTATTGTACAGGTGCTAACAAAGACTGGACAATCTGTTTTCTGGCCCTCCCAGGCACTGGAGGGGGGGGAGGGTGCAGGGGGGGTGCAGTGTTTTGGTGTTAACTTTTTTGTTATTTTGTGTTGTGTTCCTCCACCCCTCCCCACTTCGGGAGCTGCATTTCTTTGCACCTCTTTTCCCACGCTGAACCCCTGCCTCCCCCCCCAAGAAATTTCTAAGCAGGCTGCCTCCTTCGTGGCCCTCCTCCTGCCTTCCAAGAAAACAAACCATGCTCTTTTCTCTCTCTCTCTCTCTCTTTTTACGCCAGGGCTTTGGGCCTTGGGGGTGTGTGTTCCAGCTGCTGTTTTATTTCCCCACACTTCTGATTTGTTTTATTCTTAAGCAACGCTTTGGTGTCAAAAACACTTATGTACAGAAAAACCTGCATCAGGGTCCCCGCCTCCTGTCTCGTCTTTTGGGTCGGGCCTCTTTGCAAAGGAAGTCCAGCGGGAGTGGCGTTTTCACGCAAGAGCCTTGGCTGGAGTAGGGTGGCGGGGGGGGGACGACAGCGATCCCTTCCACCTTTTGGTCGAGGAACCGGAAGGTGGACGTCGGGACCGTGCCTACAAATGGGAGCCGAAGCCAGCACACGGGCCGCACGTAGCCTTTGCGGGACAAAGCAGTCTGGCCCCGTGGAAGTCGCTGCCGCTCCGCTGGAAAGGGTGAAAAGGGGCTGGAGGCGGAGGCATGACGTCCCCTTTTGAAGTGGGTCCGTCCTCTCAGTTGCCGAACAGCGGTGGTCCAAAGAGAGAGGGGGCAACTGTTGTCGGGTCTTCGGCTGTCGCTTGTCAATGCAAGAGCCCCAGAGAACAGGAGGGCTCTTTTTTCTGACGGAAATCCATCCTTTGCCCCCACCCCCACCCCAGCTGCTATTAAGCCCAACGCGGGGACAAAAGGAGAAGCCTTGCATTTTATCTTCTCTTCCCCTTTTCCAGCAAGATGAAGAGCAACGGGATAGTTTTTCAGTTGGGAAAAGGCTGTCTGAGGGGGGGAAAGGGGGTGGGGTGGGGAAGCCCTTCCTTTAGCATGATGTTCCTAATCTCATATGTTTTTTTTAAGGCATGGCGATTTAAGCCTCGAACTACAGCTCCCATCAGCCCTACCCAGCATGGCACCTGGTTAAAGAATGAGCACAGGCCAGACTGTCTAGGGAGACGCTGCTGCCTGGGATGGCTTGTGCTCCTTTCCCTTCTACCTACCTCTTTATAAAGTCATGGCAGAGGATCGTATTTTGTGACAAAATCCCATCATAGCGGGCAGCAGCTTCCAGTGCCAATTATTAGCACTTAGAAAGCAGTCTGGTTCTCCAGGAAGGGAAGAAACTGCTGCAGAGAGAGCCGGAGTACTTCCATTAAAAAGAGAGAGAAAGGCAGCCTTTGGTCCTGTGGCTGTGATTATCTGCTGTGTTTGGTGGGAATGATGGGAGAATGATGATGCCTCAGGGGAAGGTTGGAAGGGAAGGTTGCCTCCAGATCTTTGGCCTTGCAACCCCCCCCCCCAATCATTCAGAGCTAGTGGGCCCACCATCAAGGGACCCCTCGGGAGTTCTGAAGCCCAAAATATCAGGCTTAACAAGATTGAAATCTATGCCTCCTATGAATTTGAAGGCTCTGCGTTCTTCCAAGCTTTGCCTCTTTCCCAGTTTGTCTAATCCAGAGAAGGATTACTCAGCAGGCAGCTCCACATGGGAGCACCGCTTCCAAGTGTGGCTGCAGACCTTAAGACGGCTGATACGTGCAGAGAAGAGGGAGGGTACTGATGTGCTAAGTTTCAGGATGCAAAATGCGCAGTAGTGGTTGCAGCCTCTGCCTGTGCCAGAAATCCCAGAGCAACTTTGCAAAATACAGTGGTGCCTTGCATAGCGACGATAATCCGTGCAGCAAAAATCACTGCAAAGCGATTTCGTCGCTATGCGATTTTAAAAAGCCCATAGGAATGCATTGAAACCCCTTCAATGTGTTCCTGTGGGCTTCAGACTCACCTTTAAATGAAAATTCTCCATACGGCGGCCTTTTTCGCTGCCCGGTAAGTGAGGAATCCATCCCAGAAAACAGTGGGCAGCCATTTTGGAACCGCCGATCAGCTGTTAAAAAATCATCGCTTTGTGATGATTGGTAAGCGAAACGGTACCGATCATTGCAAAGCGATTTTTCCCTGTTTAAAACATCGCAATGTGATCGCAGAATCTTTGTCGCTATGCGATTTCATCGTTAAACAGGGCGCCCGTTAAGCGAGGCACCACTGTACCTCTTTTGCTGTTGAAATAAGGCATTTCTGCTGGGCATTTACAGGCGGTATTAGTTGCATGCAGGAGCCACTTGTCCCTGCTCTGCTTTGGCTTCTTTGCAAAATCACCTTTCCTTCCACCAAGCAAGATGGACGGGTGATGGATGTTCTCCAAGCAGCATCTTTCCTGGCATTGCAAGTGGCTTGGCTGGCCATGGGAGGGAGGACGTGTACGGCAGGTGAATTTCTGGACCCTCCTGCTCCTCCAAGCCATGCCTGCTTTCTACTTTTTCCTGTGTGCAAGCTCATTCCATTGTGCCCTGCAATTTCAGTGGAGATGTGGGTCCAGGTGCTGACAAGTGAAGGTCAATATGATCTCTCACCCCAGTAGAGTTCTTTGCTTTGCTGCTTCTGGCTCAAATTGGTGAAATGGGAGACCTGTTGCAAGATCTCTTGCACTCCGTGACCCCCATGAGAGGCAAAACATGCCTGCAGGTCAACCGGGAGAGAGCATTTCCTGAGAGTCTTCTGGAACAGGAAGGTACAGTCTCTGTTGTGCAAGATTTGGACTGCGGTGTTCACAGTCCTGTAGAGAGAGGTGAAAATTTTTGGATCAAGCACCGATCCGCCTTGGCTGGTGTGGAATTGGGTGTGTGTGTGTGTGAGAGAGACACGTTTGTGTTGCCACTTCTGGGGTTCAGCTGAGACCCTCCAATGGCAGATACCACTTGTCATCCCCAACAAATGGTCAGGCTGGCTGGGGCTTCTGAAAAGTGTGGTCCAAAACAGGTGGGGATGCAAAGAGTTGCTTGGCCTAGCACCCTTCACGAAACCTTCAACCACCCTCACCATCCGTTTTTTTTGTCAAAAAGGCAAAAAAAATTGATTCTGGCTTGGAGGCGAGATCTGTGTGAGAGAAGGCCCACAACCTGTCGAGGCAGGACATAATTTGCAGGCAGAAGTTAATTCTGTTCCCAACATCTCTAGGAATCTGCATATAACGACTCCTCTGGGCGGCCCCTGACTGGTGCAGGTCCTTGGGGGAACGAACAAACCAAAACCTGCTGCTTCTATTCACATCACTACTTTTCAAGAAAAGAGCAGGTTTTGCCCCAAGAATTCTTGGCTGCCTCCATTTCTGAGGGGGAAGCTGCTGAACCTTTGCTCCTAGGTTCTCTTAATGGTGCCACAACAGGAGGTGGGGAGCGGGGAGCTGAAAGCTTTCAGGGTATTTCCTCCCCCCATTCCCCCAACTGTGGGAGGCATGATCTAGAACCATTTTCTTGTAGTATTGTCTCCATGTTGCAAATGAAGGACAGCGGGTGGGTGGACGTTGAAAAGCCACTGAGCCTATAAGCTTATTCCTGAAGCTATTTGTTCACACATTTTCTCTACTTCTAAAACGGGAGCAGGCACAATATTGTCCTCCAAATATTATTGGACTGCAACTCCCATTGGCCACGACTGGGGGGGTGTCAAGGGAGCTGCACTTAGATCATCCGGATCTGAGAAACTAACGTTAGAAGGAGGTTTATTGTTTCCAAATGCATATTTAACTGAACCAGCTTCACGTTCACAAAGGCCAAGAGGAGAGGGACTAGCACACCTTGACTGAAATTTAGTAATTAAATCTGGTTTAATTTGTGGTGCAAAGAGAGCTCAGAGCCGTTCCAAACATTCATAGACACACTTTGTTGTGGAGGGTGGAGGGAGACACACGCGCGCAACGAGCTCACACAGTCAGCACAAGGGGCCTCCACGGCCTCTCCGGTTTCCAAATGCACTCCCATCCTGAGGCAGTGGCGGTGTGCTCAGTCTTCGTGAATGTTAAAGAGCTTGGCAACTTCATTAAGGTCTGCGTGCTCTTCCCCGTCCTTAATAATCTGTAAAACAAGAAGAGGAAAGGTTCAGGTTGACAACGTGTCTTACTACCAAAACGTGGAGAGGGTTGCCATTCCTTTTGAACCACCTGCGGCCATGAAAGCTACGTGGGCTTGGCTTGTACACACAGATCCACTTAACGCTGTCCCATCAAACAGGTGAGGGTTTGGTCAAAAGCAGAAAGGACGAGGATGTCCCTTTATAAGCTTCAGCCCAACATGAGGGTGTGGTCAAAAGCAGAAAGGATGTCCCTTTATAAGCTTCAGCCCAACCTCTTTAGGTGGCAAGGCAAGAGGAAAAAGGAAGGGAAGCGTGTCCTGTAATCTATTCACCCGGGAGCCTCTTGTGTACATCTCGGTTCCATCCTTGGGATCTGCCCGGGTGGTGAGCATTTTGCTTTTGCAACGTTCCAGTCCCTTGGGAACGGCTTGCCTTTTTTCACCCCCCGCAGGTTTTAGTGACTAATTGCAACTGTGGGGAAATGGGGAAGGAAAGTGGAACGGCAAAGATGTTGGGGCACTAGAATGATTATAAGAGGCACAGGCCAGAAACCAAGATGTTCTGGTTGCAGCACATCTGCACAACACGCTTTTTAGATTTTCACTCGCTTTGCCTTGTTGGTTACAATCCCCCAGATACTCCACTGAGCAACAGATGAGATGGCTGGAAATACACGTGTCCATCTGCTAACAGGATGGTGTAGTTGAAAAACTGACAGACCCGGGTTCAGGAGACTTGGGTATGAATCTCCATGCAGCCAGAGAAACTCACTCGGGGGCCTGGAACTGGTAGAACCATTCCCTGAATATCTTAATGACCTTGAAAGTCCTATTAGGGTCACCCTAAGTAGGTTCTGACTTGACAGCTTAGCACAATCCTTAGAACCCTTCTACCAACCCCCAATTCCTTCAGGTCATGCTTGAGTGTGGCCGGCAAGGCCCCAGGACGCAGACCCACCTTTCGAGCGATTGGCATCCGGTTGAAGATGTTCCACAGGACGATTCCCACCACCACTTTATCCCTGAGGTAGAAAATGACTCCTTTCCCATAATCCTCCCCTTGCTGTGGGGCCTGCGGGCTGGAAGGTGAGGCTGCAGAGACCTTGAGCTCGGAGGCTTCTGTTTCTGTTTCGCTCTCCGAGCGGATTCCAGTTCCTAGGCGTGCACACAATAAACAGTCAAAGTCCAAAACGGAACCTGTAGAACCACCACCACCCCGTCCTATCCCGCCCCACATCAGGCAGAGGAGGGAATGCTTGGTCCTGCAGATGTTGTGCAGCACAACTCCCCCTGAGTCTTCTACAGAACTGGCCAGGCTGTCTGGGGCTAAGGAGAGTGGTAAGACAAAGGCATCCAAAGTCTCCCTGTGCCAGAGGTCTCATGTTATCCTCTCAACAACCCTGTGAGGTACGCCAGGAAAGATTGTGACTGTTGCCAGATCACACCACGATGCTTTCTGCAGGATCCAACTTCAACAGGCAGGCAGGCAGGCAGGCAGAGTTTACAACTGTACCCCTGCAAGCCACACCTCTATAGAGGCTGCTGGATTCTTCACCATTCCCTTCAGCGCAGACAACCAGGCCAGTGGTGAAGACAAGGGCAGTAGTTCAACATCTGGAAGGCCAAAGGCATAAGGAGAGTGGTAAGACAAAGGCATCTGTGCCAGAGGTCTCATGTTATCCTCTCAACAACCCTGTGAGGTACGCCAGGAAAGATTGTGACTGTTGCCAGATCACACCGCAGTGAATCTTGCGGCACTGACAGCATCCCATTTGGGCATCAGACACAGGGGTCGACAGTCTTTACAACTGTACACCTGCAAGCCACACCTCTATAGAGGCTGCTGGATTCTTCACCATTCCCTTCAGCGCAGACAACCAGGCCAGTGGTGAAGACAAGGGCAGTAGTTCAACATCTGGAAGGCCAAAGGCTCCCCATCTCTGAACTCGAGCAGAGAATGTTCAGAAGGGCCCTCCTTTTCCCCCAGGGCAGAGGGCGGACATCTAGCCAGGCAGAGTAACTATCAGTTAGGGAGACAGCCATATTTGTTGCCGCAAAAGCAGCAGCGAATTTTGGGCATCAGACACAGGGGTCGACAGTCCATGTAAACTCATGCCAAGTAAAACCAAGGTGCCGCAAGACTCTGCACGCTGTTCTCGTAGGGAGACTCCAGGAGAAACAACAAGGAGTGTGCGCGCAGGAGACGTGACAGACACTTCCAGCGATGCAGCTCCTCTCCCGAGTCACAGAACAGCCAAAGAGCAAAGGCTTCCTTACCTGACTCTTCTGTGGCCGATTTTGGAGTGTCCTTCGCCGTTGCTTTAGCAAACACTCCCACCGTGGGCAAGCTGCTATCGACAAGGCCGATGGCTTCATAGCCAACGTCGGGGCCCAGGTCACTCCTGAAATGGACAGACAAGCATCATCCAGCCACTTAAGTCAAGAAATCCCAAGACAGTTTGCTGTTTCTCTTAATGTATAGGAAAACTGAGGATCAAACACAGAAGCATTTTCCATCCTAATGCTCTGTACCTTGTCGTCACCCAGGGAGGCAATTGAATCACACCTTCATCTTATCATCATGCAGGCTTCTGGAAATCCTATTTTGGACTACAGCTCCCCAGAGTCAACAGCCAGTATGGCTTATATATCACCTTGGTTGGAGCAGTCTAGGAGCTGTAGTCGGAAAAAGTAACAGGAGCCCATCTCTGTCTGGAATATAGCTCTTGTCATGCTGAGAAATGCCGCAGCTACAAACTGCCTAGAACAGCACACCTTAGATCATTTCGTGGGCATCTGTTCCATTTCTGCTCATCCTGGAAAGAAGGGGGAGGTTGCAAAAAGCAGTCTACTGAAAGAGAACCCAACTGGGTGCCCCTCTGTCTCCAGAAATTAATTATACACCTTTAAAAAGCTACCTCTTTCTTAGGAACACAGCTGCCTTTATCCCAGGGCACAAGATTTACACACGCTAGCACTGTCTCCTTCAAGTAGTTTCAGACAATCAGAAGACCAGGCAACCTGGGGGATTCTACAAGTTCAAAAAAAGGAACTTTTCCAAGTTGTACCAGGGCTTTCAGCATGGAACTCATACGGTTTATTATCATGCAATGGTCCCTTTTTTTCAGCGGAGGTGCCTAGCTTTGCCTTTTTGAGGAACAGGCGGGATAACGTGGGCTGGCAGCTTTCATGCCTGCATTATTAAAGCAGGGGGAAGACCACTCTGCTCAGCACTCTGAAGAACTGCAGCTGGTCGGTGCAGAGAAGAGTTGCAGCGCGGGGGGGGAGGTGCTGCCCTCCAGAGGCTGGACTGCAGCCCCCAGCGCTTCTCATCGCTTGCCATGCCGGTTAGAGCAGTTCGGAATTGCAGTCCAGCCTCCGGGAGGGTTTTGCTTCCTCCCAAGCTACGTGGAGAAGCAGTACGATTGTACCTCAGGGCGCTTCCAAGCTGCCCTCATGAAGAGCACGAGAAGAGGCGGCAGTAAAGATGGAGCGCTGAAGCCACAAACTGAGCAAAGCCAAGCAGAATGAGAGAATCCACAGTACCAGAACATGGACTGGTGCCAGTATGGCTTGGCTGCTCCCGTCATGTTTTCTCCTGCCAGCCTCCCACTCACAACGGCGTGATCGTGGTGCTCCACACGCCGCCGGCCCAGCTTGATGTCATAGAAGCAGGCTGCATCCCCTGCCTGAGCAGAGAAAATTGAAAAACCAGGAGTGAGAACTAAAAAAAGGAAAGGAAACATTAGTGACAAAAAAAACCCACACAGCCAGCTGGCTAGATAGCTTAGAGAGTCGGGTTTCTGATGGCTGCAAAGTCAGAGGCTGGGAGTCTGATTTCCCCACTGCTGTGCCTCACAGGAGAAGAGCCAGCCTGAGTGGCCTTGGGCCAGCTGCCCAGTCCTAGGGAACCCTCAGAAGGAGGGAAGGGGAAACCACCTCTGAGTATTCACTACCTGGAAAACCCTGAACAGGGTCACCAGAAGTCAGAATGGACTTGATGGCATACAGTGATGATGATTAGACCTACTGCAACTTCCTCAAAGTTCCAAGAGGGCTTCAGGTTGGGCAGTTTTGGTCTTTGGCTGGAGAAGGTCGGATAGGAAGTCACATTTGTGGCAGGAGGTCCAGGAGTAAAGAAAGGAAATAGATCTTGGCCAAGGACTACAGCTGGGATGCCTGACGCTTCTCTACAGGCTCACTGGAAGCCACAGCCAAGGGCCCTAAGATCAGTCAGCCTAAGATAACCTTGACTTGGGAAAGGAGAGCACAGTGATGTGCAGCAGATGCACAAGGAGAACCGGAAGCTTACATTTCTCCCCTGCAAAGAAGATCTCACTCTCAGAATCTCAGGTATTGGGTTAGGGTCCCACATACTTCTAAGAGTACCTCCTTTCCCCCCCCCTCCCCACAACAAATAACTTCCTTAGAGGTTGCTTCTGTTTGTAGAAGGCATCGGTCTCCTCTCCAGCAACACAAGCAGCCGAGGAGCAGTTGGACCCCCATTCATTTCCCTCACCCGTCCCTCCTTACCACCCAGATATTGGAGCGGGCCTGCAGTTCTGCATTGACTCGGAAACCGCCGAAGTCCGAGTCCACCTCCATGCCTGCAGACTTTGCCAGCTCCACGTTGGGCTCCAGGCCCACGGCTGCTACAATGTGATCTGTCTCCACCTGTATGCCAGAATAAGAACACGCTTGCATTGGCATTTATTTCTAGGGTGCCACCATCACTATGCATGGCTGGTGTACAAAGAGTAAGATGACAGGCTTGCCCGAGAGGACTTCCAATCTAAAATCTGACATGGAGGGATAGAGGAGAAGTGGAAGCAAACAGAAGTTGGGTTAACAGAGAAAGAACATGACTTTTCTCCCCATTAAACTGCAATACTGCAGTGAAGACTCTGCATAAGACCTGAGTTTGATCCGGGGCCCAGGTAGCTGGCTTGAGGCTGATTCTGCTGTCCATCCTTCCAGGGTGTGGGTGGGGCTGCCTCTATTATGTTTTAAACACCCAGAGAGTGTTCTGAGCATTATAGGCGGCATAGAAACAGCACACTTTTTGCTTTGTTTACTTTATAAACCACATTTCTCCCCAAACTGTGACTCAAAGCTGGTTCAGAACGGAGGGGGGCGGGGGGGAGGCACAGAGAAAAGCACACACAAAATGTGATCTGGAAATGTAAATGGGCCAAGAGCAATTAAAAGCACAGCCAGAAAAGAAAGTATAGCAGAAAAGTCCCCTTTGACAACAAGCCTTTTACCAACAGGCCAGTGGCTGGAAAACAAGAATGTGACCTAGTCGCCTACAGAACCGAGTTCCGAAGCTTGCGGGCGCTCTCCCCACAACCCCACCACATGTGCCTCCGAGGGGGGCAAGCCCAGAGAAGGTCTCTCCCCAGAATCTCAGAACCTAGACAGGTTCAGATGGGAGAATACAGTCCCCCAAATGACTTGACCCCAAATCACAATCTTAGAGGGTCTGAAGAGACCAGGGAGTTAAGAGATCTTCTGATACTGTCTTCCTCCTCCTGCCCTTCCATCACACCCTGGCCGAGGAAAAGCTCCCCGTCTCCACGGGTACTCACTTTCCTTCCATCCTTCAGTTTTATCAGCAGCCGGTCCCCAGCGACAGACACAGACTTCACAACGGCATTGGTCATCACGTTCACTCCCTCTGAAAATTTTTTTTAAAAGATGCTGCTTACAATCACAAGAGAGGAGAGGTGGCCGGCAAGCCCAGCCTCCCTTACAGAGTGAGCCCGCGGGCCATCATCTTCATTATCCCTGGGCTGCCAAGCAACCTTGGGGAGAACCATCATCACTGATGACTAAGACCCATCGGAGTTCGAGTCCAACTCGCCCAGAGGAGACCCAATTAGAGAAGCTGAAATTAAAGAGAGCTGTGTAGTGATACCTTCGCAGACCACTAACAAAAATTAAACCCATCTGCTAGCTTTCGTGGGTCAGGGCTCACTTCACCAGGCTTGCACCAGTGTGTTGTCACTAGTGCAAAGAATTTAAGAGTGCCAAAAGTTCATGGCAGGTGGATTTTGCCAGGCGTGTTTCTGAGATTTGAGTGAGGAAAGATGAAGCTGGCATGGGAGGTGTGGTTTTAAAGTTGCAGCTGAGGAAGATGTTGGTCAGAGCTCTTCAAACAAAGGAGGCCAGGCATTATGCTGACACCTTCCCATGGGGCCTTCCTCTGAAACTACAAGTTTCTATTCGGCGGCTACGCTCATCTCCCCACTGGACAATAAAAACCCACCACACAGTTGGATCCACACCATCTCATTTATTCTGTAACAGGTAACTTCTGGAGTGGGTTTCTGTATTTATTCAATATCTATTTGCTTCATCTTTCAATAAAACAATAGCAAATGGTCCCTGTCCTCAGGGCAGACAGAACACAAAAGGAAAGGGGGAAGGGGAAGCAAAGGAGGAAGAACAAGACAATGTCAATACGATTTTTTAATATTTTTAGGTTGACCAGGAGAGAGAGAAAAAGCAGGGGACGAGAGGAAAAAGAGATACCAAGTCAGATAATTCATAATGGTCTCGTATACTGATGTAAGCTGACCATATCTGATAATTTCAAAAAAACAGTTTGGAGCTGGTGTTGGTGGGACTGATGTTTTAGATTGTGCGAAAGCTGCTAGATCTTCTGATCACTGTGCAATGGATGGTGAACATTTACCTCTCTAGCGACAGAGCGTGAGTCTTTAGCTGCAGTGAGAACCTGTAGCAACCAGACTTAATATCGACAAAATCCAAAGAAACAAAACAGAAGACAATGACAGAGCGTGAGGTTTTAGCTGCAGTGAGAACCTGCAGCAACCAGACTTAATATCGACAAAGAAACAAAACAGAAGACAAAAACCTGTCCATAAAAGCTCACATTAAAATATAATAGTCAGTCTTTAAGGGGTCACATGGTTTTCTCTGGTTTTTTTCTTTGGATTCTGCTTGATATGCAGATGCACACAGCTACCTCTTCTAATACTACCACCAGATTGAATGCAACTGTAAGCCTGCAGAAGACCTGCGTTGCATTTGCTGAGATGGACCCGTCATGCTGTCGGTGGTTTTGGACGCTCCTTTGCGAGGCTGGCTACGAGAACTATCATGCTGAGCACCTCCCACTTCCACACAGACCACTAAAAGCCCCGCTCAAGGATAGGCCTCAAGCAGCCCCACCTGTGCAGCTGGCAGGAAAAAAAAGAGGGACAAGACTCTCCCTTCGTTGGTCTATGGCTCTGAGGATCCCCCAGTCAGCACGGGGAGTTCCGGCCATTGTTATACCAAACAGGAACACACCTGAGGTCTGCTGCTGACTGACTTACCTCTCCTCACTTTGCTGGTGGTCCAGTTGCTCAGGTACTCAGGAAGAACCCTGCCCATGTTGCCGTTCTCGGGGAACATCTGGATCACCTCCAGGCCCCTCAACTGCGCTGCAAAGGAAAGCAGAGAGCGTGTGAGAGCGACCTAAGAGTAACCAGCAAGCCCTCAGCAGCCTAAGACGATAGCATCTCAATGGCCACAGGTTCCCCTCATAAACCTGGCCATATGTTTAAGATGGGGTGAGGAACTTTCGGCTGCTCATAAACGGCCACTCCGCCATTGTGCCCCACCCCTGGCCTTGCTGGCTAGGCAGGAAGGAAGCGGGCTGAGGAACTTTCGGCTGCTCATAGACGGCCACTCCCCCATTGTGCCCCACCCCTCCTGGCCTTGCTGGCTAGGCAGGAAGGAAGCCAGAGAGCAGGAACCTCTGGAGGGCCGCACATTCCCTGGCCTGGCTTTAAGATTTATTCCCAGCCAAGGGCCCGGCCCCAGGCGAGAGCCAAAGGGAAAATGGCAATAAGTGGACTGGGTGACCACGCTCAGGCCTTGCAGGGTCCCGATCCTGCTGCGTCCTGGTGCTCACACTCACCTCTCCGCCCCAAGGCACAGGCCAGCTCACTACCCAGGAAACCACCACCGATGATAGTGATTGACTTGACTTCCCTGGAAATTTTCTCCAGTGAACGGAAATCTTCAATCTACAAGGAGATCGGGCAAATGGAGGGGGGCGGGTGTTATTTGTTTGTTCAATGGCACAGTCTTTCCATTCTTCAACCACAAAGGCCTTTGAGAAGCTTCCAGACAATCCTTTTTTTTTAAATGTCAAGATACAGCACAAAAGGAAAGGGAGAGGGGGAGGGAGGAGGAAAAACTCAAATGGCCCTTCAGCCAGGCTAGTGCAATGCACTGCTTCCAATTCACACACACATATACCCAGAATGGTGGCGACAGGGAGGGGCTGGGAGACATCTCGGACAAGTTCACGTAGGACACCAGGGCAAGAAAGGTATCAAAGGATTTGCACAAGAGAAGCCAATTCCCACTTTGTCTTGTTTTGGTACAAAGACCTCTAAAGCATCTGCCAGCCACCTTAAGTTTGGACTGCAGAGCTAAAACACAGGAGCAGTGACAGGTTCCCTCAACATCCTGTCTTTTAATCTCAACCTTAGTTTGTGCCAGAGAAAGCTGAACATGCCTCAAATATACTCATTTAAATCCAAAGATTAAACCCAGGTGGACCCCCCTCAGAGGTTTGGGGGGGGGGTTGCACAAAGTATTACAGTGGTGCCTCACTTAACGACGAATCCTCAGAGGTTGGGGGGGTTGCACAAACTATTACAGTGGTGCCTCACGAGCGCACCGTTTAATGACGAATCCGCATAGTGACGCGTTTTTTGCGATCGCATTGCGATCTTTTAATAGGCAAAACATTGCACTGTGATGATCGGTAAGCGTTTCGCTTACCGATCTTCGCATTACGATGTTTTGGGAACAGCTGATCGGTGGTTCCAAAATGGCCGCCCGCAGCATTTTCGCACCCTGCCCTCACTTACCGGGTGGCGAAAATGGCGGCCAGACGGAGGATTCACCGCATAGCGGTGAGTTTTTCCCCCAATAGCAGTGAGTTTTCCCCCAATAGTTTTTCCCCCCTGCATAACGATGAATCCGGATAGCGACGTTAATCCTGGAACGGATTAACGTTGCTATGCGGGGCACCACTGTATTGTTGTTTGGAAGTTGAGTCGTGGCAACTAGAATTCTTCAGACTGAAGAAGCGACTTGGAGGAGGAGCAAAACATTTCGACTCAAGAACAGACTGAAGAAGCGACTTAGAGGAGGAGCAAAACATTTCGACTCAAGAAGAAAGAAGTCCAGTTGCCATGACTTAACTTCCAGATAACCTCACCTCAATGACTTAGAATCTTCAGTTATTGTTGTTGTTGTTTTGACATCTAACACCCCATAGTAGAATCTTCACAGTTATTGTTGTTGTTGTTTTGACATCTAACACCCCATAGTGTTAAAACAATCATTAGGCAGTTTAAAACATAATCATGCAAACAACACTTTTATTACAGTTTTGGAGTGGTGCTGAAAGAGCCCGTGTTTAAACCAAACAATGTAAGAAGTTACTTTCAATTTTATGCCAATGTTTTATTTTGATTTTGTTTCATTCACAGTGTTCTTGTAATAAATAGAAGCCCCGACAAGGGAGATGCCCCACCGTGGAGGTTTACCTTCCGGAACAGGGTGAGCCGCTGCTGAACCTCTTTGCCTGCTCTCTCAAGCACAGGAAGACTCCTTGGTGAACCACCTGAGGACAGAAAATAGGGAATCGAGATCATGTTCAGAGCCAAACAGCTCCTTCTGGCATCTTGGTCACATGGAGGTGGCCAAGACTCACCTATTTCCCTAACCCCCTTCGCCCGCCTATAGGAGCCTAGTTCTTACCCTTGGTGTTCCAGATGTTTTGGAGAGCAATATCAAGAAACCACCACCAAGCACAAGGGGTTCTGAGAGATGAAGTCTCAAGGGCATAAAACCACCCACCCCAGAGACCAAGGAGAAAAAGGAATGGGCTCAATCCCCTCACCTGTGGCGATTAAGCACTTGTCATAGGAGATCTGTGTCCCGTCACTGAGTTTCACTACATTCCCCCTGACGTCCATTTGGACCACCTGCAAGTCAAGCACACGTTCATGTCTCTTATGGAGTTGCAACCTTGGAAAGAGGGTGAAACTCAACCTCTCTGAAACTAAACAAAGCACTGTGCTTTTTTCTAAGTCTTTTCATGTTTCTAGTCTTTTAGGTCAGATGTTGGCAGCACACAACGCAGCCAACACTCCCAGCCAGACGCAACCAAAGGTTTGAACTGTATTGCGGGGAGGAAAGCCCAAAAGGTCCCATAGGCCCTCTAGGGAGCGCAGGAGCAATTGTGCCCCCATGCGCCCCCCCCCCAAACTTAAAAAAAGCAGGCCACTAGAGGTACCTTATGGGCTTTTACTGTTTTTTTTTAAAAAAAGAACATTTTTGCAAGCCATCAAGGGGAATGTCATCGGAGCAAATGCAGTCCTCTGAAGTCAAGGGACCGGCTTGTCCAAGCCCCACACCTCTGGAGGTTGCTGGCCACTGCCCTCCCTTCCAGTGGTTCTCAACCTTGGGTAATCCAGATGTTCTTGGAGCACAACTCCCAGAAATTCTGGCCAGCCCAGCGAGGGGTGAAGGCTTCTGGGGATTGTAGTCCAAGAACATCTGGGGGCCCAAGGCTGAGAACCACTGACTACCTAGACTGATAGGAGAATCAATCCAGACAGACCCAACCATCCCCTCTAGCTTGGGAAAGTTGCTTCTCTGGAGTGCCGCTCCCAGCATCGTCCAGCTGGCATGGGTGGGCCAGCCTGACGCAGAGAGCCGGCCACTGAAAAGAACAACTCTTCCAAGCCCTGCCATCTAAACTTGGACTTCTCTAAGCAGGCAACCGTTTCTGTTTCATTTGCTGTTAACTGCAAAAGGCAGCTGGTTCTTGGCAATCTGTTAACAGCAACACCCTAAAAAGTTTCCCCCACTGTCCCCCATTCTTCAGATGGCTGAAGGCAGCTCCTAGAGGCCCTCGGTCCGTCCGCCGTTACCCTTCAGCATTCTTCATTTGGGCAGTGAACCAGGTTCCAACTGGCTGACCTCAAGGTTCAACAAAGTGGATCTCGCCAGATCAGTTGGACACTCTCCTGCACGTGTCTACACATCCCTGGCCTATAGCCCCAGGCTTCTGACAAGCCTTTCCCAGACCTAGCTGGGTATGTTAGGCCTCAGGCCTTCCACGTGCAAAGCAGGCACGATCTGGAAATGTGGATGGGCCCCAAATGCTGAAGCTACACGGCTGCCTCAGGGAGGATGACAAGGAGCGCATAACTCCCTGTTAAAACAGCTCCACTGGCGGCCATCCTGTTTCTGGCCATGGCCTAGACTGGCCTGGATGACTTGGGAGACCCTTTCTGCCTTCTCTGTCCCAGTGTCCTCACAAATTTGCAGAAGACTCCAGAAAGGCCTTTTTCAGTGGCTGCTCCCCCCGCTTTCTTATTCGGACTTCTGCTGATGGACTGTATTTTCGGCAACAGTACACTCTAGAGGCACCTCAGAAAATGTGGTGTGAAAGGGGTTTTAAAGACAGACTGAAAAGAAGACACCATCTGGCTTGTAATATCAAAGACCTGCAGGGCTGGCAAAATCATTGTGATCCATGTTCTGCTCACCTTCTTCCCAGTGAGGACGGCCACTCCACCATTCTCGATATGAGACAGTTCATGAGGAGGCACATAGAATGAAGGTGGCTGGAAATAAATACTGCAGGAATAGGTTGACATGGGGGAAGCAAAAAGAAAAAAGAAAGAAAAGGAAGAGAGTAAGAGATCCTCCAGTGTTAGCAGCTGTTATCTTAAGGCAGATGGGAGTAATCAGTTTTCTGACAAGGATCCCCTTCCTGGGTCAACGGTCAAGGGCCTATCTTGACAGGAGGAAAGGCTGAAGCAAGTGCAGTGGGGCTACTATATCCCTCCCCCCAAAACCTCCCCCTTTTCTCTCCTGTTTACCCAGCTTCTCCGTCCTCTAGAGCCTCAAACACAGACTCTCCCCTTAAGGCTCCTTTTCAGGAAGACTGGAAGAAACCAACCTCCTTTCTTTGCCATTCCACTGTTTGAACCGCAGCGTTTCGGTGATGTCGGGGTCTTCTGAAAACCACAGTTCTTTGGAAAGTGGAGGCCGCATGTAAGGCAGCTCGGGATCTTCTGAAACAATCAGAACCTTGAAGAGGAAAAGACAGAAAGATGGGTCTTTCCGGCCTCAAAAGCCGCGTCGATAGAACTCGGCCCCGTCGGCGGCCCTCGCTCACCCTCGCAGCAGGATCCCGAGCCCGGATGGACCGGGCAGCGGCGAAAGCAGCCGTGCCTCCGCCGATGAGCAGGAAAGGAACGTGGGATGGGATTTCTGAGGAAGTGATGGCCTCCGTCTCTGGGGCTGCAAGCAAGGACAAAGGCGTCAACCAAGAAAACATGAAGAAAGGGCTCACTTCAATCTCCCAGTGTTGGGAAAAATAACAGTAAAATACCAGGCAGGTAAGCAGTGACTTCTCAAGCACTCTTGACACAACTAATCTCCCTCTACTCCCAAGGGGTACAGGGGTTTGGGGTGGGAGAGGGCCCAGCCTTACAGCACTCAAGCACTCTTGACACAACTAATCTCCCTCTACTCCCAAGGGGTACAGGGTTTTGGGGTGGGAGAGGGCCCTGCCTTACAGCACCGGGGGTGGGGTGGGTGGGAATAAATGTCACAGTCGCCCTCTCTTGCTTTATAAACGTAAACCAGGATCCACTGCAGACTCCAAGCCTGCAATAATGCACTTTCTTCCATTTTTCTCCCCCGAACTAGAAATGGTCAGTTTACATCCACTTTGTTAAAAACAAAGCAGAAACTTTCAGAACACATATTTCCAGTAAGGCAAGGCTGTAGAAGAGTCTCACACTATGGTGGCTTCCAGGGGTGGGATCTGCCCTGTTTTTAAGCATGTATCTCTGAAGGATCCCCATCAACAGAGGGTTAGAAGCTGCAAAAAACAGGCGTGGAGCACACACAGAAGCCCACCTGTTTCCAGCCCCCACCCCAGAAATAAAAAGTGGGGATCACTGCAAATAAGCCTCCAGGCAGAGCGAAGAAAGGCCTCTCCCAGAAACCTTGGTGAGCTGCTGTCGCTCAGTGCAAGCCAGATTTCAGCCAGGAGGCCCAATGGTCTGACTTCACTTATGTCCGCTTCAGCTACTCACAGCCCGATCCAAACCATTCTGGGGTAAAAAATCCACCGCTCTGTAAGAGCAGCAGCAGCAGCTTTCCTGCTGTTCTTTCAATGCATCCCCTTCCTGCATTGGACCGGCTGCCCCTGGAGTAGGTGTTCTGCTTTTCACCCCAGCAGATGGACAGCCTCTCTCTCAGCACGCCCTGCAGGAAGAAGACTTAAGCTCAGCCACGTCCGCGGGCCGGCTTCTCTTCCTCTTCGAGCGCTCTCACTCACCTGCTGTGCTCTGGGAGGCAGCATCTGTTTCTGGAACGAGAAAACAGGCGCATTGGCAAGATGCCCAGCACAGGTAAAGGGGAGGCATTTCGCATCGCACAGATCATGGGGACATGCTAACGAGGCAGACACGCTCCCAGCCCAACGACGACCAAAAGCTCCTTTGCCCACCTGCCCTCCCCTCCCCCCGGCCTCCAACACGGTTTCCTCACATTAGGAGGAACTGCCTTTTAATGGAGGACAACGCTGTGGCACTGAAATCATCCTTATGCCCTGAACCCCCTTGCCCATCTCTGATTTCGGAAGCTAAGCAGGGTTAGGAAGCTTTTGCATTTGGATAGGAGACGGCCCGGGAATGCCAGGCATCTCCAGGTAGGGCTTGGGGAGAATCCTTCCTGAAATTCCAGAAAACCGCTGCTGTGGGTCTGAGCTAGCAAAACTGGGGCTGGGTGGGGCCCTAAGATGTTTTCCTAGGTTTCTGTGTGCCCCAATGCCATTCCCTTCATTGAGAAGCCCCAACCGCAGCCAAATCAGGTGTCAAAGCTTCAGGAAAGAAATAATGGCTCCTCTGGAGGGTGTTGGAACACAGCTTCCAACATCCCCAGCTGCTCTCCGGGACAGCTGGACGGATGGGAGTGGGAGTCCCCTGGAAAGGCCCCGATCCCCTGGCCTCGATCCTGAAGCCTACACAAAACCACCCTGCCTCTTCCAGGTACTCACTGGGTGGGGGCGTCGCAACCTCCTGCTGGTGCTGATTCGCGGTGGCAATGGTGTCAAAGTACCGCTTTCTGTCTTCCTTCGCCATCTTGTACAACTAGACAATCAAAGAGGGGACATCTTACGGACGTCTTCTGCATCTGCTCAGCAGCACGGTTGGGCCCACCCTGCACCCTGGGGAATACGGCTTCCTTTCAAGGGGCTTTCAAAGGGGGAGGGGGTTGGTATTTGTACAGTGGGGGTGGTAGGAATCAGGAAGGGGCCTATGTTTTATCACAGGCCTGAAGGGCCAGAAACAACCAGAAAGTTTTGCATTTTGCAGATTCTTTGCTAAGGTACTTAAGCAGGGTTGGGGGGGGGATGCTGTGCCCCCTTCCTCAGAAACTGCTGGAGCAGAAGCCTCAGTATATCAAGCAGAAGGCAGAGAAAGCTTGTCTTTTGCTGCTCCAGAGGGTAAAAACTGAGGCAAAGGATTCAAAGGAAAAGAGAGGAGATCTTGTGTAAACATTAGCAAGAACTTCCTGGTGGTAAAAGCTGCTATCTGGTATCAGAAAGGACTGCCTCACAAAGTGGCATGATTTTCCTTGCTGGAGGTTTCCAGAGGCTGGATGGCCATCCGTCAGGGAGGCTTTAAATGTGGGTTTCCAGCCGTGGTAGCAGGCTAGATTAGAAGATCCGCAGGGTCCTTTTCAACTCTCATGGTCTATGATCCCCAGAAACTGGCCATGTTAGCTGGTGGACATGGGTTACGGAGTCCAACACCATTGAGGGGGGCACGGGTTTCCCCACACACTCCACCTCATTGAGCCAGGAGATGAATTCTACAGCTCCAAGGGAGGTCTGAAGAGGTTGGGGCACACATCTCAGCAAGCATTTAAGGGGGCAAGTTACTGAGAAATCTGAACGAGAGTTTAGCAGTGGTCAGCTACGGACATTTTGAAAATAACCACAAGGCAGGGTTATAAAGTGGGGGTCTAGCACTTGGGGCATGTCAGATGGCCATGTGGGGGTCGTAGCAGGGTCAAGACAAGACCTCTTCTGATCCCTCCTCTACCTCGCTCACCTCCAATAAAGCTGACTAGTGAGTGGAAGTCATTTTATTCCTTAGCAATACACAGCATTCAATTTTTTTTCCTGGGGTCTAAGCCATTCACCCATATTCCAACATACATACAATAAAGCAAATCCATGTAAAATCTCAAGAAAGAATCTGAGAAAGGAAAAATGAGAGCACCCCAATAATTAGACAGTCCACCCCCATGCAAAAGGCAAGTATAAAGCATGTTTTTTTTTTTGTTTTGCAAAAGCAAAGAAAGTGACAGACATGGGACAAGAAAGAGCAGCAACTTCCAGAAAATGCTAACAAAGACAGCACCCGCTCCTCTCTTTTCTAAAGCAGGCAAAAAGTGATATGAAAGGGAAAGTGTGAGCAGAGATGAAGAAAGCGACTTTTTGTCACTGCAACTCCCAGGATTATCCAGCCAGCATGGCCACCGGGAGCTGCGGTCCAAAAAAAAGTAACTTTCCCCCTCTCTCAATGCCTGTGCGCGGATGTATAATGAGAGAGCACACCTCTGATTAGCGGCCGACGGCTGATCCACTGGGAGCCCAAATGCATGCAGGTGGTGTTTGCTCCAAGACCCAACGCCCCCCGGTCTGCTCTCAGGCCTGCCGGACAGGCACTGCCAAAGATACTGACCCAACTATATCTTTGGTTACAGCTTTGCTGGCCACAGAAAGGTGTGTGCTGAATTCTGAGAGGCCATGGCTCCCTGGAAGAAGGGGCGGGGGGGAGGCTTCTGGCCATGATTTTCACTTAGAGGGGTTTGGAAAAGTAATTTTGGTGGCAGAGAACTCCCAGAATACTCCAGTCAGCATACTGGCTGGGGAAATTCTTGGAGCTCTAAAACCAAATAAAAAAGGTCCCTCCTCCAAACTCTGTCTGGGTTTTCGGATGCCCAGTAAATAAAAAAAAAAGGGGGGGTTAAGGAATTTTCAAGGAACAGAACATCCCAGATCCTGCAGTTATTAAGAATTCTGACTGGCCAAGTTGGGGGGGACTTCCCTCTGAGAGCCACTGCGGGTTGAAACAGAGAGCAAAGGTCTGACTCAGGATAAAGCAGCTTACCTATATTTTAGGGGCACATACTACAGTATATGCAACAGTCTAGGCTATTGGTGGGTGGACATTTAAATTAGTTTGTTTATTCATTTACTTACTTCCACTATTTATGTTCCACCGTTCCTCCAGGGAGCTCTAGGGCAGCATTCATGACTCTTTGCACACACACACACCCCAATTTCATCCCCCTAACAGCCCTGCAAGGTAGGTCAGACAGGGAGAATGACTGGCCCAAAGTCACCCCATGAGTTTCATGGATCAACAGAACCGGAACACAAACTTCCAAAATCGCCATCCAGCCCTCCTAGTAACACTACCACACTGGCTTTAACTGTGCGTAGAGATCAGGAGAACACTTGCACCCGTAGAACTGCTCCAACCATGCGAGGACAAGGAAGATAATCATCACTATCAGTTCTTTCTACATTTCTTTCTGTCTTTACTGCCTGCCATTCCACTCACCTGCAACCACATGCATGTCCATGTGTCTGAAGGTATACATAACGTACCTGATGAAATGGGCTGCCATCATAAGTCCATGTGTCTGAAGTATTCATAACGTACCTGATGAAATGGGCTGCCATGCCCAAAAAGCTACACTGAAATAAATGTGTTAGTTCTTAGGGCGCCACAGAACACTTCGCTGTTTTTGCCACAATGGACTAAAACAGCAGCCCTTTGCAGACAGTTGCCTATAAGCTCACTTTAAAACAACAGGCTATTTTATAACAGGATTTCATGAGAGGGGCTTTGTTGATTCGGCTCACATGAAAAAAAAAACAACCTTTGAGCCCATCCACGCATTGCCTCCCCAACCCCATAATCATCACATGCAACGATAAGTTTCTTACCCATGCGCCTGTCCCCATGGCCGCGCCTCCTATTATTAAGTACACTAGTTTGCTGCTGCTCTTGCCAGGAGCGCCTGGAGACGTGAGCGACCGACAAGGGGGCTGGGAAGGTGGCCGCTGCAAAACTGCAGGAGGAGGAGACAGGCCAGGGAAAGAAAATGAAGGGGGAGAGAGAAAGGGAGACAGAGAGAGGGGAAGCAAAAGGTCTGAGAATTAAATGAGGACACCGGATTACACAGATCTAAGGGATGCAAGGCTCCCCACTGTTTTGGTTACACTTTTGTCAACACCAATTTGCCTAGAAGACTGACAAGAGGGGACACCTTTAAGCTTTGTTATTTTAAAGGTAAAGGTTCCCCTTGACATTTAGTCCAGTCGTGTCTGACTCTAGGGCATGGTGCTCAACCCCGTCTCCAAGCCATGGAGCCAGCGTTTGTCCGAAGACAGTTTCCGTGGTCACGTGGCCAGCGTGACTACACACGGAACATCGTTACTTTCCCACCGTAGTAGCTATTTATCTGCTCACATTTTTACAAGCTTTTGAACGGCTAGGTTGGTGGGAGCTGGGACAAGTGATGGGAGCTCACTCCATCGCTTGAGGGCTGGTCTTCTGGCCTTGCTTCACAGAGGTTCCTGCAGTTTAACCCGCAGCACCAACATGTCCCTCTTTGTTTCTTTACCACACCATAAAGAGACTCTCTCTTCATCTTTGAATTATTGCAGATTTAATATTATCCACAAAGAGAGGATGGCTAGTTTAGATGCAGCCCCTTGCCTCTCTCTTAGGAGCTCTTTCAATGTATAAAATTGCTTAATTTAATGGCTTAATTTGTTACACCATGAGATTCCATCTCTCCTCGTGCAAGAATTAAAACTAACCTGCCCCAGATCCTCTAATTTCATGCTGTCCACTCAACAATGATTGTGGGCTCTCCCATCTCTCTGGCTTTGTGTTTCACAGCCTGGAAAGGTTTGTTTTTGGACTACAACTCCCAAAATCCCCCAGCTAGCCTGACCACACAGTATCCTGTGCCTTCTGATTCCCCTTCATCTCATTCCCACTCGACCAGGTGTATAAATGCCAATATATGCTGGCACCATACTCCATGTCTGAGAAACCCTCACCACCCCACCTACTTTTCATCATCCATTCCAACACCACCAACTACAATTTTAATTTGTATTTGAATGTATACAATTAAACAACAAATTTAGAATACAAAATAAACATGACATAGTGAAAATCTTAAATTAAAAACAAGCAGAATAACCACCAAAAACATTTGGATTCTTCTGTAACAAACTAGCACCCTTTTATTCTTAATTGCACCTATATCAACATAATTTTCCCGATTATCAAATAAATTATTGTGAATTTTTATTTGCTGCTTTCATCATCATCATCATCATCATCATGTGCTGTCAAGTCAATTCTGACTTACAGCAACCCCTTTCAGGGTTTTCCAGGTAGAGAGTACTCAGAAGTGGTTTCCCACTGCCTTTTTCTGAGGGAATCCTGGGACTGTGCAGGCGGCCCAAGGCCATACAGGTTGTCTCTTCTCCCAAGAAGCACAGTGGAGAATCGAATTCCCAACCTTTGACTCTGCAGATACCTAAGCCACTGAGCTATTCAGCTAGTAGTTCTTCTAACATACAGATAAATGTTTCCTCCTGCCCCAGTAAGCCATCAGTATTAAGACAAACTATATTTCCACATCACTGTGCAAGCTTATGAGTTCTCTCAAATTCTTTATCAGGCTAGATGGCAAAACAAAACATCACACAACTGTGGCTACCCCTATAAATATTGCCCCGAGTGGATTTTGCACATTGCTTCCTCTGCGCTCCCTGTTTTTGTTATTAGGACCAATCTATATGGGTCAAGAGATGGAGCAGGACTCTCAGTCCCTTTGAATGCCTTCTCAACCAGGCAGTGGGAAGGACGCAACGGCTCCCGAATGATTCCATTATTTGAGTGCTTCACTGGATGGCGCTTCTCCCATTTTCAGCTTGATCTGCCTGATTAATCTGGGGAAATCATTGGCCAGAATCCACCTATTTATGCTTGCATAGGTGAAAGTGTGCTAAATCGTGCTGCAACTGACTTCACTTATGCAAACAGAAATCCTTAGTTGGATTTTGGCCACCATGAAGTGGACAAGCAATGCTTTAGTGTTACTGAGCTGGGACTTGGGAGATCCAACCTGAGTCCTCGTTGAGCTGCGTAACCCAGTGAGTGAATATGGGCCAGTCATTCTCTCACTTGGCCTGACCTACCCTTGCAGGGCTGTGTAGGGAAGTACAGTCACATATGCTTCTTGAACTCCATGGAGGAAGAAGTAAAATATAAAAGGTAAAAAATAAATACATTTCAAAGAAACATTTCTATTCCTCCTTCCAAAATTGATCATATCTTTGCTCGCCTACCAAATCTTAAAACTTCTTCCACGTTTTCTTTGGCAGCATCCTATAGATTACAGATCATTCCCTAAGGAACTGAGCTACTTTTGCGTAGGGGGAAGACAAGCAGTGGCAGTGGGGAGGGCATTAGGATGGATAAAAATCAATGACTTGTTAAAAGCAACTGATTAAAATGACAATTTAAATCATGGTTTAGATTTTAAAAGTCTATTTTCAAAATGCAAATTGTCAAAAAGTGCAGTTTTTAAAATTTAAATTGTGATTTAAATTAAATCCACCCTGACAGGTAGCCATGGCCATCTGTTGTGTACATACACACACACACACACACACACACACCAGCATCAGAGAAGTACAGGCCTCCCTCTCCTATTTTGATGCCAAAGCTGATTCATTTCAAGTGGCTATCCCCCCTCCCCCATACACCTTTTCTTTCACTTCCCCATGTCCATTTTGGAATGCCTTCATTTCCTCCTCTTTGGGAAATAAAGACAGAATAGGTGAAGTTACCAACATCACTTGAGAGTTGGAAATGCTTCCCAGAGCCCCTTCTGATCCCTCACCCTTGTCTGGCATCTCCACGTGGGATCAGCCACCCTTGTCAGGCACACCCAACCTATGGTGTAAGAGCTCCACAATTAACCGCTCTCTTGCTCTCTCCGTGTCATTAGCTCTTACCTGGAAGCAGTGAATTCTGAGTTGGTTTACAGGCCAATTCCAGATAAGAAAAATGGCAGTTAATTTTAATGTTTGTTCTAAGAAGCTAACCAAAACAGTGAGAGAAGAAACAGTTAACTCAGAGCAGGGATCAGCTTTGTTCCTTGATGGTATCAATGTCCATGGTTTCTGAGGAGAAGGGGCAAAACCAGAGATGCGAAGGAAGAGCATACATTTTCAAACAAGAACAACCACCAGAGAGCCAAAGTTACGGCCAGTCACCCTTGTGTTGCTCCCTCAAACCTTTCTACTTACATGGGCCCCTGCTCCTAACATAGGCAAGCCCAGACAGAGGGCATACATTAAGATTCTTTTGCTTTTGTCATCTGGAGCACCAGAGCTAGTCATCTGTCTGCTCAGCTGAACGCCTATGGGAACCTTCCACCGCTGAAACGGGTTGCCTGGAAGCACAATGAGTTAGGAGCGAGAATCATCAACAAGGCACTAGAACACATCACTGCATTTACTAAACCACCTTCCCACAACTATGTGCCCACCAGATGTCTAGATTATAAACCTCATCCCCCCCCATCGGCATGCTGTCTGTGAATAATGGGAGATGTAGTCCAGCATTTCTGAGATGCTGGGAGAGACAAAACTACTGTATTTTTCGCACCATAAGACACACTTTTTCCCCACAAAACAGGGGGGTGGAAAGTCTGTGCGTCTTATGGAGTGAAGAAAACAGATTATATTTTCCTGTTTTCTTCTCCTTAAAATTGGTGCGTCTTATGGAACGGTGCGTCTTATGGAGCGAAAAATATGGTAAATTCCATGGAAACATCTAACTAACTCAAGACTCTGGCAGTATACCTCAAGACTGCTATGTTTTCATCAGGATGTCCTAACCACAGTTCTATAAAATCAGAACTGTTCAATCTCCATATCATTTTGGAAAGTATATTTGCATTCAGAATATCCACAATCTATTTGTTTCTTACTTTTGTATCTCAAGGTAGCTATACTAGGGCTTTCCACCATGTTTACTTTCCACCATGTTTACTTTACTTTTTTTTTAACTTTACTTTTATTGGATTTGTGCCCTGCCCCCCTAGACAGAGTCTACTCAGGGCAGCATTACATACATAAAAAACATAGCAAACAGCGTCCTGAAAATATCTAAAACATCAAATTTTTAACAAGTATATAAATCCTTGCCAAGATGGAGTGATTAAAAGAAAAAGTAAAGGTCAGTTTAATTGACTGGAGGGGAAGGCCTGCCTGAAAAGCCAGGTTTTTAAACGGCTCACGGCCGCCCAATGAGGAACAATAAGCTGGAAGACAGACTGCCTTAGCTCGGACAGCATGACGCCACCTTGTTGCAACTCACTTCAATTTAGAGTCAGCATGATGGCGGCTGAAGACTGCAGTTCCCATCAGGCTTAGCCAGCACAATCAGTGATAAAGAGTGCTGGAAGTTGCAGTTCAACATCTGGCAGGCTGCACTTTGCGAATCTCTAGTTTTTATGTTTCATTGTGCGTATGCAGTTATAACCCAGTATTTTATAATTTGCAATAGTAGTCTTATTCTGTGTGTATCTGTGTGTGCACGTTAAGATTCTGCTTCAGACCAACAGAGCAGAAATCAATGAAATTAAATAAATATATTATCATGGCAGCCTATAGGATAGCCTTTCCTCATTTCCACCTTGGATAGCCAAACTTACCTGTCAGTTCTGCTGGGCAAGATTCTGGCTTTGGTCTTATAAGTCCAAACTGTTTAGACACAGGTTATCTAAAGAATGCATGATACATGTCTTCCTTTACACTGAGACCTAACTCAAAGGGACCAGCTTTTAAGCCAGTCACTATGATCAATGTTGGCAGACATGAGAGAAAATGACGGGGAAAGGCCCCCAGAGGAGGAACGGTGTCTAATGATGCCAACAAGAGTCTGGCAGTGCTTCAGATATGATCAAGGGCTCTCCACCTTCATTTGGTTGGCCAATATCACAGGACATCCTGATTCTGTATACAGTACTTTGATATCTGACAATTCAGTGATGCTGAATTCTCTCCTCACAGGCCTCTTCTCCTAATACTAAAAACCTACTACTGCCACCCTATCTGCAATTAAAATCAATCTGATTTTTAAGGAAAAAATGTTTTTAAGTTGCAAAAAGGCTCACATATGGATCTTAGGAGAGCGTTCAGAGCAAAAAGATGTTTTTTTTTTAAAAAAAAGCATGAACACCCGCATTGTACATGGCTCCAATATTTAATCCTTAAAAATCATTCTGCTCCTTAGAGTTGGCAACCTTCGTGTTCTCTTCGCTTGGAAAGTCAAGACATGAGTAAAAGCTCCATAAGTAACTACTTATCAATACCTCAACATCGAGTGAATTTCACTGAACGCAAGAGGACTCATTTCCCAGTGAACTTGTTTTTCTTTTTTTAAATGACGTGCTAACCCTAAGTGTTCCCTTTAAAACAGCCTCCTTCCCCCACCCCCGCCATCCACTTCCTTTGCATGAGTTGCACTACACCTCCCATCACCCCCTCACCACCATAATGAGCTTTTCAGGGTAGAAAAAGGAGCAGCCCAGCTGTAGGCACTGCTCCTGGCGAGCATTTTGAGCAACCCCTATACTATACTATACTATACCATACACTATACACTATACTATACTATACATTATATACTATACTATACTATACACTATACACTATACTATACACCATATAGTATACTATACTATACTATACTATACTATAGGAACAAAGTCCCCAAACACCTTGAAACACGTGGCTTCCAAAAAAAAACCACCCCGTGTCCCCTGCCCAGAAGAGCCAGCGCTTTAAAGGGCATTTCCAAGACACCCCCCCCAGAGGTTGTCAAGGCAACGCACGGGAGCCCATCGTGACCCCGAGGCCACCGAGTCCCCCCCCGCTTGACTCTTCAGGCAACAAATACACAATGCCTATTCTTCCCCCACCCC